CTGAACTGAATTAATTATGCTACTTGATTAATCTTGCAAGACTTTTTGTGAGAGATGGCAATTATCACCTAGCTTTATATAAATGAAACCAATGCAGAGATAATTTATTAAAAACAGCTATATGAATTTGTTTTGACAGCAATCAGATATCTGTATGTTGGCTACACAATTCTATACCACTAGTTCTAACCAATCAAATCTCAACATAAGCAGGTAACTTAAAAGACTATAAAAGACACACTACTGCTCCTCATTGCTTGTGAAATCTCTTCTAGTCGTTTTGGCCTGGATATCGTGCAATATTATTAACCAGCTACTTTCAGAATTTCAGTGTAACTTTATCTCACCTCACAATAAAACTAACCATCTTACAGATATCTTTTCCTCCAACCTGCAGCAAAAATATGCAGGTATAACCATCAAAATATCCTCAAGAGTGAACATCCAAACTATTTGTCAATAACTAAACTCATTAACTCCCCACGAAATCTGTTCCTCCATTTCTCTGTGCCTTGGAGAAGTGGGGGTTGGGGTGAGGTAAGTGACAAAATACCATCTAGTCACTCAGAGCTAAACTGGGAAGCATCTTTAGACTCCTTCTCCTTTAATCCCAAACCTAATCAACATGTCCAGTCAATTTAATCTAAGTATCTGTCACATCTCCCCTTAGATATCCTCATTCCTACTACCACAGGAATGGTTCAGCCTCAGATGGTGGTTCACCTAGATCATCACATGCCTCTTAACTGCTCTTCTTACCTCCAGTTTTGCCCCCTCCAAGCCATCGACTGCACAGGAGAACCAGATCATTATTTTGAAAGCATAGTTATGACCATGCTGCTCCCTTATTTAAAACCTTTCAGTGGCATCCTGTCACCTATCTAAAGGCCAAAGCTCGTTAGCATGTCCTACAAAGCTTCTGATGCTGGGAAAGATTGAGGGCAGAAGGAGAAGGGGGCAACAGAGGATGAAATGGTTGGACGGCATCACTGACTCAATGGACATGAGTTTGAGCAAACTGATAGTACAAGACAGGGAAGCCTAGTGTGGGTCAGTCCAGGGGACCGCAAAGAGTCAGACACAACAACAACAAGGTCTACAGTCTAGCCCATTCCTCTCCCCACCTCATTCCTCAGTTCAGTCAACTTCTTAGACTGTTATCTTTGCATTTATTCACACTGCACTCTTAAATGGCCTCCTCTGACTCTCATCGAACCTCACTTGAACTTTCTCTTACCTACTGATTAAAACACAAATGAGTTTTATCTGGTCTCCCCAGATGTGGCTGGATTTCCCTTCTATGTTCATATTATATTTTTTGCATATTTTTATTATTGAAGCTACATTCTGTTATAATTATCTATGAGTATGTCTATTTCCTTCACTAGAATAGCATCTTGTGGTCAAGGAATGTGTCTTATTAATCTTTTTATCCCTAGAACCTAAAGAGTCCTGGGAATAATAAACATATAATAATTTTTCAATGCATAAATATCCCTACACTATTTTTAAAACTATAAAAAAGCATTTGATACCACTTGCAGTCACAGGTAGTAAAACTTTTGTATCAGGCATAGTTTGATTACTCAGGAAAACTATAGCAGAGTTGGTGTTTTGACTCACTACTTCTGAGCAAGAAAATGAAAGAAGTTCCTATCACACAAACAAATTGCTATGGACAAAGCTATGGTCACAGTAACAAAAACCTTTCATCTAGTCACTCAAGAAATAGCCTGAAGGTCTTATATGAGCTAGGCTCTTTCTAAACATTGAGGAACAAAACAGGTAAGGTCACTGCCCTCAAGGTACTATTATTTTAATGGAAGGAGATAATCAATAATCAAATAAGCAAGATAATTTCAGATAGTGATAAGTGTGATGAAAAAAATAAAGCAGGATGAAGATTCCACTTTGACACTGGATGATCAGAGACTTCATTCAGAAGAGAATATTTGAGGTGAAATCTGAAATAATGTGAAGGAGTCATTTATGTAAAGATCAAGAGAAAGAACATACCGGGCAAGCACACTGGCCCTAAAGTTGCCCTAAAGCATGACATGAGCAATCAATCAAGAGAAGATCAGTTTGGCTCTAGCACAGTAGATGAAAGGGAAAGTTATATGAGATGACAACAGAAAGGTAGGGGACAGATGAAGTGCAGTCTAGTGGGCCACACAAAGGTGTCTGGAATTTAAAGTGAAGCAGGAAGTCTTTGGAGGATCTTAAGCAGGGGAAAGGACATGATCTTTAAAGTTACTCTGTCAGTTCTGTGGTGGAATGGATCGCAGAGAACGGGCAGAAATGGAGGGAGGGAGATCAGTGGGAAGCTACTGCAGTTAAACAGGCAGAAAATGATAGCGACTTGGAAGAGATTTTTGCTTTTGTGAGGATTAGCTGGGATAATGTAATAAAGTGCTAAATAAGCAATCAAATAACATAAGCACTAAAAAAAAAATACAAGAGTAAGAATAAAAGATATGCATTGGTCTCTGCCTTGAGATCCTGGCACAGAGTTCCTAAAACCCTTGTAACTTCCCAAGCAATAACAGCACTAGGAGTATCTCTTAGTGGCAACTCTGGGTCAGCTCCTGGATGGAAAGACTAAACCACAAAGAGTAGCTTAGAATTTTTCAGCCACTACCTCCTAGTCTCCAGAGATGGGGGAAGGGCTGGCAGGGGAGTTAATAACTGATCACATCTGTATGATCAAGTCTCTGTGAAAATCCCAAAAGGACAGGGTTCAGAGAGCTTTTGGGTTGGTGTATTCATCCACACCGAGAGGGTGACACATCCCAACTCCATAGGCACAGAAGCTCCTGTACTTGAAACCTTCCCAAGACCATGCCCTATGGACCTCTTCATCTGACTTATCTGAATCCTTTATCATATCCTTTAACATCATGGTAAACATCAGCATTTCTGAGTTCTGGGAGCTGCTGTAGCAAATTAACTGAACCTGAGGAGGGGGCTTGCGAACTTCCAATTCATAGTCAAATCTGACAGAAGTTGTGGTATCTGAGGACTTACCACTAGTGACTGGTGTCTGAAGTGGTATGGGAGCAGTCTTGTGGGACTAAGCCCTTAACCTCCAGGATCTGACACTACCTCCAGGTAAACAGTGCTGGATTGAGGTAAATTGTAGAACACCCAGCTGGTGTCACGGAGAATTGTTTTGGCGGGGAGAGGGAACCCTGACACATGTGGTTTTTCCCTACACAGGAAAAAAGACATACTGGTGGAAAGCTGAATTTTTCCAATATGAATTATACCTATTAGTTTATGCTTATAGAAAAGTCTTCTTGTTTAATAGGATGATGAACATCAAAGTCCTTGAGACATGATCTTGGGAAGTATATAATGACTACAACACTCAAAGTACAAGAAGTAGAAATCCATCACTCATTTAACAAAATTTGTTGACGACCTACTCTGAACAAATTATGAATAGGTTTGCTGAGCGAGCGCAGGAAACTGGATTAATTCATCAGTTAAAGTGAAGAGATCTGAGAAGAATAGCAGAGAAAGAAACTGCTATTCCTCCTCAATTGGAAGATAAAGAGAACCATACCCTAGGTTGCCCCAAGGCCATACCATGAATAGTTTTTTCATCTTTAATAAGATTTTCATTAACTACAGAAACCAAAAGTCTTTAATGAAGTGGTATGTAGGTAGTACACACTGTACTATGCTAAGAAAAATGTATATTTATATAAAGCCCTTGATACAGTGCTTTTCACAGAGTAAATGCTCAATAATGTTAGCTATTAATTACCTCCAGCTGTATGGTCTTCGGAAGGCTGAGTGTGTGATCTCTACCTGCCAACAACTGCTTGACTAAATTGATAATAGAGCCACAGGACTTCTAATTTAACCTTTTGATTTTCCACATGGAAAAAGAGAAATCTAAAAGAGCTAAATGACCTGCAAAGCCAGCCATAGTGAGTGAGTTAGAGCCAAGACCAAACTCTGAATCCCCAGTTGGGTTTCCATTACATGTCACAGGTCTGTGGCTTAACTATAAGGTTTTATTCAAACTTTCACAGGAAAGTAATTAAGAACAGAGCTGCTATACCTTTTTCAATCCTTTTATTAAAGTCAGCACTGAGCTATGATTTTGATATAAGAATCAACAAAGCATAATGGCAACATATAGTCTTATGAGTTAAAAACGAAACAACAGTCTTGGTAATACAATTCTATCAGGGACACCTGATAAATGGAAAGGCTACCAGAGCAGCTGTTATATGTGCTCAAGTAGACTACAAGCAGAATACAAATACAAAAGAGAAAAAGATTTAAATAAAACGTTTTCCAAAACACACTGAAAATGTGACAATAGTTGTGGGTCACTAAGAAACTGAGATTATGTCTCCTGGCATACAGCAACAACAGAAGGGTTTGTTTTAAGCAACACTAAGAGAAAGTTCAATAAAAACTGGGAGACCAAGACTAAAAGCCGTAAGGTAGGAAGAGTTCCAGTAAGCAACCAAAAAGTTCTCCATTTCACAGAGTGGAAAGGCCAATCGTGAACTTCCAGGTCCTTGTGCATATGAGATTAGAATGCCCTCCTCCTAGTTCTATAAAAATTAAAAAATAATCTCTGTAAGGGAGGAAAAACGGGGCAGGGCATAAAGAGGAATCCAATCTATTTGTGGTGACTTAAATTCAACTCAACAAATATTTCCTGAAAAATCTACTATGTGTGAAACATGCAAGATGTTTGCCTTGCCTCAGAGACTTCAGAATTACATGGGAGAAGGGAGAAGAACGCGGTTCACGGAAATACACAAATAACCCAAGGCAGAACAGAAGCACTCCAAGAGAGGTTCCAGTCAGGGCTATGGGTCCAAAAGCAAGACTCCGAGACTCAGAAAAAGTTTCACGGGAGAAGTGGGGAAGAAGGGTAGGCGAGTGGGTGAATGGCCGACCGGGAGACGTCAACTCCCGGTTTCCTTTACAACTGCCCGCCTCTTCACGCGCTCGGCGGGCTCCCTGCTCACCCTCTCCGGCGGAGGCAGGCACTAAGGCTCTCGACCAGGCCAACCCGCCTTGATTCTCTTCCGCCATTTCTCACCTCGGAGGCTTCCAAATTCCTCCTCGGTCAACCTTGTCTGAAGACTGAAGACAACGCTGAGAGGAGAAAGCCCCAAGGCGGGCGACTGGAGCCTTCTCAGCTCACAAGCTGGAGGCTGCGGCCAGGCCTCATCCCCATGGCAACGCCCCCAAGCGCCGGTTCGAACGCCCGCGCCGACGCCCGCGCGCCGGCAGTCCCACACCGTCCACCAATGAGCATCGAGGGAACACGTGGACGTGGACCTCCTTCTCTTCTAGAAGGCCAATCAGGAACCCGATGAAACAGTGGGCGTAACTCTCAATTTCCGCCCTTCAACCAATCATTCCACTGAAATGAAAATCTCGCGATGTTCTAAGCGAGAGAAACGCACCTTTGAGGCGGGTCCAGGATCCTTCCTCCCCGAGCTGTTGGTCGTCCAAAGCGCAACCCAGCTCTTGGGATTGGTCAACGGACTGCCAGTCTTCGCCAAGGTCCGCCTTTTGCCTCCTTCTACCTGGGGTGAGTAGCCCTAAAGAGGGATTACTGGGTTTAGTTCTCCGCGAAGAAATTGAGGCTCTGAGCAATGAGTCTGCCGCTGACTAACCTCCGGTCGCTGTAGGGTCAGGAGTGGACTTGCCTTTCTCCAGCTGGCTGTGGGGCGCGGGCAGGCCAGACTCCAGCCGCTGCAGGGAGAAGGGAGGGAGACCCTTTGGGGGCCCCGCGAGCCTTGTTTGTCCCGAGACGAGTGGTGATCGGGTAGGTCGTCGGAAACCCAGAGTACCAGGTGTGGGGCCCAGCCACCCTAGCGCCATACCTTCCCTTCCTTGGGCCTCAGTTTTAACTTTTTTACTCTTTAAACCCTGCCCACTTTCCAAGAGAGGTTTTATATTTTCTAATTACTTCCTTTATTGAATGGATACTATCGTGACAGTTACAACAGAAGTAAAGAAAGTCACAGGAGAGTCCTTACTACTTAAAAACTTCTTTTTTTCCTTGTGGCCTAGTTTGGACCTTATTTATCTATTATATCTCTCAAGGGGAAAAATAAATAAATATATGAATGACATTAAAGAAGTTGAATGCAATCAAATAGCCAAATGTAGCTGGTGTCGAGTCCAGGTTGAGAGCACTGATGTTAGGAGTCGGGCAGATCTGCTTTTGGGTCCCTACCCAGACTCATCTCTGAGCTGTAATTTTCTTTTTCCTCTTCTGAAAACGGAGAGTAATGCCTCATGGGGTTGTTGTGAAAATTAAGTGAAATAATGAAGGTAAAGCACTTGGCAAAATGCCTGACAAGTAGTAACTCTTCCAAAAGTGGTAGCTATTATCTTCATACTAGAAATAAGAAAATTTAGTAGCCAATGGAACCAGTAGATGTACTGTAATTGAGTGCCCAATTTAGTTCAAAACTTTGCCAGTTAAATAACTAATAATTAAGGAAACAATCTGTTCTTCAAAAGAGTGAAATTTCTTCGTAGTAGCTATATTAAAACATCTTGTGGGCCTGTCAGGGATGTACATGGTGTGATGAACAGTGTGTTCACTGACAGTTTTGCAGAAAATATGAAAAGTCATTTTTTTATTCAACTATTAATGAAAGCTAAGAGCATGTCATTAAAACATAACAGAGAAGCTTTCTGATGATGTTTTATACAGGGATTAAGTGTGACATTTATCTAGTACTTCTGATATGTCAGACCCTAGGTATACATTATTTTAAACTCTGCAACAACTGTTAATAGTAGGTTGGTATTTCCTTATTTGGAAAAGGAGGCTTAGAGAAGTGTGTTGCTCAAAATAAAATGCTGTTGAATTAGGGAGCTAAGTCTTTCTCACTGCAAAGCCAGCCATGCTTTTCTGTGTTGTGCGTTCTGTTTTTGACTGAGAAAGGATGAAAATACTTGGAACACAGGCAGTCTTTACCGTCTAAGCCGCCAGGGAAGCCTCCCAGGTGACGCTAGTGGTAAAGAACCCTCCTGCCAATGCAGGAGACATAAGAGAAGGGGGTTCAATCCCTGGGTTGGGAAGATCCCCTGGAGGAGGAGATAGCAATCCACTCCCGTATTCTTGCCTGGAGAATCCCATGGACAGAGGAGCCTGGAGAGCTACAGTCCATAGCCTCACAGAGTCAGACACAACTGAAGTGATTTAGCAAGCAAGCAAACTCCTAGTCATCCTTTAAAACCCTTATGGAGTACCCCTTGACCTAAAGATAATCATTCCTTCTTTGCTGTCTTTACATCTTACACATACCTTTGTGATGCACAAAATACATCTGGTGACTTGTCTGTTTAAATATCTTCCACTTTCACTAGTATTCAGCTTCCTATCTACTCTTCAGTCCTGTCACACTGCTTGTCGAATGGGACACACTCAACAGACATTAGATGAGAGAATGAATCCTTTCAGGCTCTAGTATTAGAATTCCCCATGTTTGCTTTCCAGAATTGTACAGTAGATGGCACTAATAGGCCACTTAACAGTTCTCCTTCACCAGAAATGATTTTTGTCCCAGCCTTGTCTGACTTTGACTTCATCCTTGAAGCCAGTATTCATGTCATTACAGGTGAAATCTCCCATTTCTTCCCTCAGCCAAACAGCAAAGATAGCAAGATGACTCAGCAGCTTAGTCTTTGAAACAGAGTGTGGCAGATGTCTAGGTAAAGGTGAGGTTGAGGGAACATTTTCTTTGTCTCAGCTCATCAGTTTATGGTAGTTGGGGGTTTTTCTTTTCTTTCTTTTTTAGTTTTATCTTTTTGTTGTTGGTTGTTGCTTTATTCAAAGATGGGAGCCTTATTTCTGTTCATTTCTTCTAAAGGGAAGAAGGGACTAGGAGAATTGGAGAAGAGACCATCATGATGTGCGATGTGAAGAGAAGCTGAGCAGTCACATAGCTAGCTGCTTGTGGGTAGGCGGAGTTGACCTTCCTCCTCATAGTGGAGTGGCCTGGGCAAATTTCCAGGACACAAGTGCCCCAAGTTAGTTACTTGTGTGCTTGTCCAAGGTTGGCATCAAGCGCGTCCCCAATACTTGGTGCTTGAGAACCCTCAGGCTACTGGGTATGGTTTTGAACGTGTGGTTATAGGCTCCAGCTTCCCAGAAAAAAAAAAAAAACAACCAAAAGCAGAGGCATAGAAACCTTTATCAGAGAGACAAAGTTTAGGGGCATCAGACTACACTTTACTCCTCCAGGGTTGTCTTTGGGCAACAGGATCTTCATCTGTGTCAGCCTCCAACTAAAACTTCTGTGAATAGGATTCCAGTTAGACATCTTTAAAATCCTCCATATGAATGTAGATCAAAGTGTGGGAATTTTGGAACTGGAAGCAATTTAATAAATCATTTTCATATCCTCTTTCAGGGCCAGTTGTGCCCTGTGCCCTGCTCTTTCATGGTAAGCAAAGGTGTGTTATGGAAAAAATACAAACTTTGGAGTTAGACTTGGTTTCCCTGTATCTCTGGTGGTAAAGATTCTGCCTGCAATGCAAGAGACCCAAGCTAGGTCCCTGAGTTGGGAAGATCCCCTGGAGAAGGGAATGGGTACCCACTCCAGTATTCTTGCCTGGAGAATTCCATGGACAGAGGAGTGTGGAGGGCTACAGTCCATGAGGTTGCAAAGAGTCAGATACCACTGAGTGACTAATACTTTCACTTTTCACTTTTACTTAGATTCAAATCTCAGCATTTACAGACCAGTTAGGCGTTTGGGCAAGTATTTTAAACATTTTGAATCTGAATTTCCTTATCTTAAACTGGAGATAACAATGCTTATTGTGAAGAGTTGTCTTGAGCATTATAAAAGATAAAAAAACATTGCATGGGGTAGATTCTTGATAACATGGTGGGATGAAATACTGTTTCTGCTAGAGGGATTTTAGACTATGAGGAACAGGTTGCAGGAGGATTTGGAGAGCTCTTTCTAAAGGTACATTTGGACAGCTCCTGTGGTTGAGCCGTGCTTGCAATAGCACTCTGATTAATTTGATGAAAATATTGGACCACAACACATCAGTATAGTCATTTATCTGTGAATTATTTTTTGGCACCTAAGTCCTCAACCTCCTAGGCAGTGAGGGATTTGTATCTATAGAGAAAGCCAAGAGCACTTTTCCTTAGCTTCTGGAACCTTCTGCTGACATTGAAGGGGTTTTGTTCAGGTTTTTTTTAAACCACCTAAGGCACTTTGCTCCTTTGCTGAAGTGTGAATTGCCTGCTGTCAGCCTGGAGTTCTCACCTCCGAAATCTGGCTGCAGGCATATTTGCATATTAGATGGTGTGTTCTTTAACCCCCTGGGGTTTGAATCCACTCAGTGTTTGAGTGTGTGTTTGTGTATCTGTGAGAGAGAGAGGAAGAAAGAAATCTGGATGCTTTAAAACCCCAGGACAGTTTCAGCTCCACGGTCTCCAGAAAAACAGAAAACCTGTAACAATAGCTCCATTGACTTTTATGTAAATGGCACTCTTCAGGAAAACACTGGGCTATTTCCCAAAGTCCCAGAACAGAACCTGAGCATTTGTTTGAGTGGGAGGTGGGGAGATAGTTCTGTTGAGTCAATGAACATCTGTTGAGAGCTGCTGTGCTGGGTCCCAGGAGACAGCTCACAGTCTGGCTCTTACCTGCCAGAGGTGCAGAGATTACCATACTAGATGTGCATGCTTGTGATGGCTTTGTGCCACGTCCATGTAGCTAAGCTGGAACTGAGTTTCCCAGGAGTCCCTTCCTGGATAGTTCCAGGTTAGGGCTGACCTCAGGAGAATTTTGTGCAAGATTTGGAAGGCTGAAGTGAAGTAGCAGCCAGTCCACTGAAGGACCGGGCAGGATCCCGGGCATGGTGGCAGGATATACCTCTGGACACTCTGATCTGCTGGCTCACTTTAGGGTGCAGGACAGCACCCAGGCCCACAGCTTCCCAGTTCCTACTGCATCACCTCCTTCAGCTGCTCCAAGTCCCGGGTTGGGTGTACACTCAGCTCTGTGGCAAAGGGCTCCAGCTTCTGAAAGTCACCCGAGTCAATGAGCTTGGAGACAGTGGACAGAAGTCTTCCACTTCACAGTCAGCTTTCCTTTCCAACTGCTGGCCTCACCAGCTTACAGAGACTTCAGGCCTAACACCAGATGTGGAGGTGACAGAGGTACATGGGTTTCTCCATCAACTTCCTGATTGGATAAGCTCTATTCCCTACCCTGAATTCTTATAGTATTCTGTTTCTCTTATCAAACATGACAGTAGTAGATTATTCAGGCCATGTTAAAGGCCCAGAAGATGGAGGGATTAGAAGCGAGAAGGCTTCACAGAAGAGGTGACATCTGAGTTGTTGCTGAAAGGATAAGGAGATGGTTGCATGGATGGGGAAGGAAGGAGAAACAGTAGAGTTCAGCTGGCTCAAGCCACGTGATTGGAGGATGAACAGGAGTTCTGCCTTTCTGTCCTCTCTGGGTACAGAGCACAGGTAGAAAGTGAACATCTGTCTGATCCTGGCTCTTGATCCTAGCTCTTCTGGTCTGACTGTTAGCTGTGGTCACCACTGAATACAGGTATCTACTGAGGTACAGTTTTGCTAGGGTGCACCCTTGTCACTAACCTAAGCCTGCTCCCCATAGGACAGTGCTGGCCTGCTGCCCTCTCCCCAGTGGTGCCACATGGCCACCTTAGGCTTGTCTCTCTTGGCCCCCATGGAGGCATCTTTGTTTCCTCATGCAGTGTGGGTGACGGCAGTGGTGTGAAAGAATGCCCAGGGGCTTCCTTTCCTAGGCCGGGCACTGTGCCCTCTAGCCTTGGATCCCTAAGCTCGTCCCAACATCCATCTCATGGGACTCTACTCGAAGCAGGGGCAAGGTACCCTACGCCTGTAACTTGCTTATGCTTTCTGAGCATCACGATAGGAAGGCCTGGGATCAGGTACCTATTCCCACCTAAATCTGTAACCAGTAATTTGAAATCTTTCTTCACTAGTTCTTTGGTGACAGGGTTCCTTCTGGCTTCCAGAATAAAGTCCTTAGCATGTATTTATTCCCTGGGAGACCAGGTAGCAGAACACCACATTTAATAAAAGCCCTGATAGCAGTTTATATATGAATTTTAAACTCGGAAGGATCCACACTTTACATACTGTTATGAGCCACTCTTTTTCCACTTAGTGTGTCTGAAAATTGTTTTACAAGCAGCACATTTGTCTCTACCTCATTTTTTTAAAAACACATTTTAATTTTTACTTATTTTGGCTGCACTGGGTCTTCACTGTGGTGCGGGGGTTCTCTTGTTGAGGGTCACAGACTCCACAGAGCTCAGGCCCGGCGGTCGTGGCACATGGACTTGGTTGCCCCACAGCACGTGGGATCTTAGTTCCCCAACCAGGGATTGAACCCTGCATTGGAAGGCAGATGCTTAACCACTGGACCGCCAGGGAAGCTCATCTTGATTGAGCAGCATCAAGGGGGCCGTGGAGATCATCCACTCCTATTCCAGCCACTCCTCTCAGCATCAGTTGTGCCACCCAGGAGCACCTGCTTCTTCTCCGGCCCTGGAATCCTGCAGACGAGGCCCTGGAGCTTGGGCCAGTCCCTCAGACCTCAGCTGTGCTTTAGACACCTGGTTTTCTTCCAGTTCTGCCATCTCACCTGGGAACCCTTATCCATGCCGTTCCCCCCACCTGGAGCACACATTCCTCCTTCCCTTTGCCAGTTTACCTTTAGTCATCCTTTACTTCTCTGCTCAAACACCTTTCTTTCAGGAAGCATTCCTTATCGCTTCTCGGCCTGTTGGCTAAGATCAAGTGTAGGAAGCATACCTTGATCCCTCAGGCAAGGTCAAGTTTCCAATCATACATTTTCCCTTTGGAACACAGACCTTATTGACAAATGTCTTTAAATTTGCTTAACTATTTAAAGTCTTCCTCTCCTACTAGACTATAAACTATATTCTATATTCATGCAAGGGCAAAGGCCTAGCACAGTACTTGGTACATAGTAGGTGCTCCATAAATATTTGCTGCATGAACAAATGCCACAAGTTTTTCTTTAGCAGGGCCTTACTGAAAGGATCTTCCATGTTTTTTGGGGTGTGTGTGTGTGTGTGTGTGTGTGTTTGGCTGCAAGCATGGCATGCAGGATCTTAGTTCCACACCCCCTGCAGTGGAATCCTAGAGTTTTAAAGGCTGGACCACCAGGCAAGTCCCTCCTGTCTTTTGTTGTTGACATTTTTTCCTGCAGTGGAAAGAAGACTAAATGGAAAAGACTAAAAAAAAACTCTGTTGTTATTGTATGGCTGATTATGAAGTTAATGTTCTCTGTAAATTTTCCAAATAATACAGATATATATGGAGCAGAAAAGGAAAGTTTCCCCATAATCTCATCCTCCAGAAAATGGTATTAATGATGCACAGACGTTTTTCTGTGCCTATTGAAGTCTATTGAGTGCTTATTAATCAGCAGGCACTGTTCTAAACCATTTGACAAAGTTAAGTCATGTAATCCTCACAGCATCCCATTAGAGCAGAGCTGTTATTATCCTGTCTCACAGCTGAGGAAACAGCCTTAGGAGCCCATCACATAGTGAATGAGTGGCAGAGCCTGAACTTGAACCTAGGCTCCAGGTTCATACCCTTGACCACTCTGCTAGTTTGCCTCTGATGGGATGGGAAGAGTTTCTACCATGGGTGCTCCTTTATATTTTGAATTTTGGACCATGTGAATGTATCACATTCCAAAACATAAAAGACTAAAAAAACCAGTAACAAATTTTTAGAACACTAAGCCACCATTCCTAAGTGACCCTTCTAAGCCATCAGAAACCACATTGTTTCCCAGAGAATGTTAATCAATACTCTGTGATGACCTATATGGAAAAGAATCTAAAATGGAGTGGGTATATGTATAATGATTCATTCTGCTGTACGGCAGAAACTAACCAACATTGTAAATCAACTATACCCCCAAAATAAATAAATGATAGAAGTTAAAAAATACAAAGAAACCATACTTTGGGGTCTCTCTGCTCCAGAGTCTCAAGCTGGAGGCTGAGGGAAATGGGATTGTGGATTTGATGATGACATTGTACTGCGTCTTTCCCATTCCCAGCAGCTCTCCAGTTTTGGTGAGTTTGCACCTAAGGATCTCCCATCTCTACATACACACACGGGCCCTGCTCTGGCAAGGAGACCTGGAAAAGTTGGGACAGACCCACACTGCCAGCTAGAGACCGGGGCCTGCAGTTAGACACAAAGGCCTGTGTCTGACTCCTGGCTTCTCCATATTGGTCCTCAGCATGAAGGTGATGAGGTCACTGTTAGCTCGTCTGTGTGACTCCCCGGCACCAGAGTGCTGCCCCCCTCCGGCCTCCTCAGTATGGATCTTCCTGTTTTGTGTAACTTGGCACATCTTTGTTACGCCTTCAGATAGACCATGGCCCTGAGAGCATGTGGCTTGATCATCTTCCGAAGACGCCTCATCCCCAAGGTGGACAACGCTGCAATTGAGTTTCTACTGCTGCAGGCATCAGATGGCATTCATCACTGGACTCCTCCCAAAGGTGGGAGGCCAGGGGGTGGGCTGTGGGGAAATGCCAAGTGCTGTTCAGAAATCCACACTGCCAGGCACCCTACAGCACTTGCTTCCCAGTGATTGTGTAGCAGGAGGTGGGTGTGTGGGCAGAAGCTCTCCATCCTTTCTGCATACAAGGTCTACATGCCAGGCCAGAGAAGAACTGAAACAGAACTCTGCGACTGAATACCAGGTTTTCTTGTATTGGTCACCAGAGCATCAGCCTCCCCAGTGAATGGTGGGGAACGAGAAGAGGCACTGGGCTGGCCAGTGGGGACCCTGGGGCCAGGGCATTCCTGGGCTACAGGTTAAGAGTGAACAGCCCCCAGACAGAAGGGAGCAGAGACTTTAAGGGAAAGTGGGGGGGGGGAGGTGAGCAAGGCTCCTCCAGGGTTAGAGGAGGGCTTCTCTGGTGGCTCCGATGGTAAAGAATCTGCCTGCAGTTTGAGAGACCCAGGTTCGAACCCTGGGTTGGGAAAATCCCCTGGAGAAGGGAATGACTACCCACTCTAGTATTCTTGCCTGGAGAATTCCATAGACAGAGAAGCCTGGTGGGCTGTAATCCATGGGGTCATAAAAAGTCGGATGCGACTGAGTGACTAACATCTTAAGGTTGGAGAACAAGGAAGTGGGAACAGGAAAAACAGTTGGCACATTTGAGTTTCACTGGGAAGAAACAAAGTGAAAAAAAAAAAAGAGGTGTCACCAATACTATGAATAGGAATATTCACACTTGCCTCCTGACCACCTGAGTCACACTGCATGGTGCCTCTCAATGAAAGATTTCAAAGGAAATCTCTGAATTTTCCCTGCCTCAGGCGGGGGAGAAGTTACCATCTTAGCACTGATGGGCAGAATGCTGAATAGATGCTATTAGGTGGGGTGTGCTCAGAGGTTTGCACACAGTTCTGAGGCGAGGTCAAACATCCCGAATCAGTGTCACCTCTCTGCCCACCAGCATCCCTCCCACCTGCGTCCCCCGAAGCAGTACCTGCCTATCTTTGTGTCCATGGCTATATGAGGTGCTTCCAGAGAAAATGCCCCAGCAGCCATGGACAGAAATGGAATTTTAAGTCCAGACTCCTGGTTGCTTTCTGTGGGAGCTGTGCAGCAGCAGCTGACTGGGGCGCTGCTCTGGGGACTCCCGGGAAGGAGGAGACTGGGATGTAGCCCTGTCTTTGAGCTAAGAAGAGAGCAGTGAAGAATTCCTGCTTCCCAGGAGCTCCCGAACCAGGAGGCCCCCAGCAACTTGTTGAAGCCATGTGTTGATCGAGGCTGCCAGACCCCTCCCAGGCCTTCTTGGCCCCCTTGGGCAAGCTGAGAATTTGCAGGGAGGGCCTTGAGGCAAAGCCGAGGGCTGCTTCCAGTCTGCAGAGCTTCAAGTTCTCTCACAACAGTTTCTTGGCAGTTGTCTGCTTGGGTTTGGTCCTTGCCAACAAATTTTCTTAGAACTGGCTCTCGGCTTGTCCTTAGTCTAAGTTCCCATCAGGACTTTCCCTGTGAAACTGGAATCTGGCCTTACTCAGTTAGAAAGATGAAAACAATTTGGAAGAGCCTTGATAGCTACTTGGAAACAGCTGCCGGTGCCTTGGTATAGGGTTTAGAGCCTGACCATTGGCCCTGGGACTTCGGTCACCAACTGCAGACAGTGTTAAGTCCTCACTGTGGGCTATAAGCAAAGACCTCCCTCTTCAGCCAGCTCCCACCTGGCAAGAAAGGACCACCCCTCCTTGGGAGAGTCACGTTAAGGTCTCCCAGGGAAGGGTCTCCCTGAGAACATGGGATGAAGAGAGCTCCAGAGGAAAATAGAGCAGAGGTCTGGGGGAGGCCGATTCTTCCACATGGAGAAGCAGCATTCTAGACCAGACTTGCCAAATGTATGGTTTGTTTCACTGTCTGTAGTGAAGATGGGGTGGGGAAGGGTCTTGCCCAGACACCACAGAGCCAGACCCTCCCTGTCCTGTACCCTATTCCCTGCCAGTATAGGATATTGCCAAAGCCTGGCAACACCTAGAAAATTTACCAGAGACCCCAGCTTTAAATCATCTGACCTGGAAAATCTAGCTTTGTTGATGATTATATTTGCTTCCTCTTCTTTTTTCCTCACCAGGCCATGTGGAACCAGGAGAAAGTGACTTGGAAACAGCCCTTCGGGAGACCCAGGAGGAAGCAGGCATAGAAGCAGGCCAGCTGACCATCATTGAGGGCTTCAGAAGGGAGCTCAGTTACGTGGCCAGGGAGAAGCCTAAAATCGTCATCTACTGGCTGGCAGAGGTAAAGGACTGCGATGTAGAGGTCCGCCTCTCCCACGAGCACCAAGCCTACCGCTGGCTGGGGCTGGAGGATGCCTGCCAGTTGGCTCAGTTTGAGGAGATGAAGGCAGCACTCCAAGAAGGACACCAGTTTCTCTGCTCCACAGCGACCTGAACTGACCAGAGTCGGCCTTTTGCCTCAGTAGGATCCCTCAGGGCCTTCTGACATGAACTGCCTTCACTTCACTTCACTTCCTTGGTCTTTGGCTCATTAGAGCAGAGAGCAGAGAGGCTAGTAAAATCAGCTGAGGACTCTCAGAAGAGAGCAAGCAAGAATCTCAGCTAGGTGGAAAGGAAAGGAAAGGAGGAGTTTAAGAAAAAAAAGCCCAGGTCCAGTGAGTGCCTCGTTATACTTTATGAATAAACTTCAAGCAGCTTCTCTCTCCCTCTAACCTGCTGTATTTATTTCATGGACTTTTGCTCGGGGCGTGGGGGGTTGGTGGAGAAAAACGAGACTGGATAAGAGCTCCAACCTTAGCCGGAGGGAACCCTGGGCCCAACCACTGTACCCCAGAGAAGCTGAGGGAGGGAGTCAGAATCAGGAAGACCCAACATGACCAGGGTAGCTCTTCTGCCCCTGGACCTCCAAGCACTTTCACCCCACCCCACCGACATGCCCAAGATGTGTGGCTTTTAGTGGACAGGACATACAAGTGAGTGGGACTAGAGTGAAGGAATTGGGTCTGCCCACCATATCCACAGGTGCCGAGGACCCACAGTGGGACTCAAACACTTGCGGAGTTTGGTATCCACAGTGGGTCCCCCAGTCCTCCGCCGATAACAGAGTACAATTGTACTCACTAATGTATCTTCTCCTGGCACCAGGGACACATGTTGCAGGTGCTCAGTAAGTATTTCCTAAAATAGAGACCCAGAGAACATTGGAACAGATCCCCAGTCACAGCAGGGACAGGAGGGTCAGGCAGCCCTGGGCCACCAGGTCAATGACACACACTCCAGCCTCCCAGCCCAGTCCCGACTCCCACGGTCAGCGTGGTGTCAGTGTGACTGAGGTCACTGGCGAGGAGCAGGCCTGAGCCTGGGGCCTCTGCTGGGCCACCTGCAGCCCTGTCACTCCCCTGTGCCGTCCTCGCCTGCTGCGGCCTTCTCCACCTTTAGCAGGCCTTGCTCATTGGCCTTCCTCTCTTCCTACCTACTCCCTTTCTCCACAGTTCTGCCGGAAGATCCAGAGGCGCAAGAGTTGGGCCGTGGCCCTCTTTCCCCTTGCTACTAGGGCTCACAGAACGCAGGGAAGGTGTTAGATCCTACAGCCCTTCCAGGAGCTGTTAGCAGCTGGGTTCATGTGGATTTCATTAGAGGGTTGTTGCCCAATGAAGTGCGGAAGATTGGCTGGGAAGCGGCATTGGCAAAGGTCAACCTGGATTACCAGGGTCAAGAGCAGGCACCCCTAGACAAAATAGAGAAGTCGTCCGGGTCTCCGACAGGCTTCCAGATGTTTTCAGTCACCACCCCTCCGTGTAGACAGGGCAGAAGTACTAGTGAACAGGATCTTGGAGCCCTGCCAGGGGCCTGAACGGTTTTGTTCCTCACCCCTCCAAGCGGCACTCCCTGAAGGAGGCCTGCTGCAGGAAGTTTTTGGAGCTTAGTGTTCTCTTTCCAAGCCAGCAGGGACCACATCCTACTGATTTAATAAATGCCTGCTGGGCAGTGGTGCCAAACCACAGACTGGCTGCCTCCTAATGAGGGCTGGCCAGCCCTGTGCTCTCAGCATGGGAGTCTGAGGGAGTCTGTGGAATCTCAAAATGCTCAGCGCTTGTACATCAGAGTTCGAATGGACCTGGAAAATGACCTGATTCTGCTGCTCCTTTTTTTTTTGTTTTGTTAAGCTGGGAATGTAGAGGCTTAAGAAGCTGGACGGCCCTGGCAATTGTCTATATGTGAGGTCCTTCGAGAATTAGGTGCCTGAGGGGACTCTTATTTTAGAATATCTTGTGTAGCTTTGGAGTCATTCTTCTAGGTCTTACAGAGTTTTCCATTAAAACACAGGTACTTTGGAGAAGGGGGGTGGATAAATTGCATTCACCTGCTCACTTTGTGGGACGAATTGACAGGTGCGACTGGGGCATGTTAATGGGCCGTGGATGAGGGAGGGTGAGAGCAGAACCGAGATTGGGGTCTAACAGGTGAGTGGGCTTTGTTGTCATCACCACTTTGCTTTTGGCTGCCTGGGCTTGTTCAAGGGTTATGGGGCTAAGACTGCAATTTCCCCTTCAGACTCAGGCCCTCCAACCAGGTTCCAGAGCATCTCCTCCTGGAAGCTTTCCCTGACAACCACTCATTCTCTAAACACTGTTCTGTCCCCACCTACACCCAAAGAGGCTTCTCTTGGAGTCGCACTTATTTTCTCCACTACCACCTGCACCACCCCAGGGTGAAATGTTAGTCCTTAGTCGTGTCTGACTCTTTGCAACCCCACGGGTTATAGCCCACTAGGCTTCTCTGTCCATGGAAATCTCCAGGCAAGTATACTGGAGTGGTTTTCTATTCCCTTCTCCAGGGGTTTCTGACCCAGGGATTGAACCCAGGTCTCCTGCATTGAAGGCAGATTCTTTACCCTCTGAGCCACCAGGGAAGCCCATCCTGGGGTGAAGAAGCGTCTAGTAAATTAATCCCCACGAGGGTGGTCCTAAGTTGCCCCCTCTTGGGGGCCTTTGATAGAGGCTCTGGAAAACCAAAATGCCCTCTTGACTCTCAGAAGCAGTATCTTACACCTCCACAGTAAGCAGTTGTTTGCTGAATTGAAGATCTAAAGGCATGAAGCTACAGGGGTGATTTTAATTGTAGAATTTAAATTGAAATACTGGTGCCAGTGTGGGACCCCAGGTGGGGCCCCCACTGGTGAGAAGCAGAGGCTGACTGCTCCCTAAGTGATCCAGCGGGTCCCTTAGGCTCTAGAGGGGGGCAGTGCCAACCCCACTGCAGCCCCCTAGAGGCTGAGCTACAAAGTCCAGCGAAGCTTGCTCTCCACCTTCCTTCTAACCCTCCCCCTTCACTTCCTTCCCCTCCTACCCTGCCTCCACCTCAGATTATGTAATAGGAAGCTCTCAACAGGACCCCCTGAGGAGGGGAAAGGGGCTATGAATGGGAAAGACAGCACTAGGATACTGAGTCAGAGGCACAGTCTCTTCCTGTTCTTCAGACCGGGACCCCCTCCCTGCCCAGGGACTGAGCCTCTTCCTCTTTAGTTTTCCCCACTCCCCCTACCCCACCCTCAGACTCAGGGCTTAACCTCTTAAAGCCAAGAATTCTCTCCTCTCTCAATGGGTGAGGGGGTGAAAAGGTACAAATTTTCAGTTATAAAATAAATACATACAGTCACTGGGCTGTAATGAACAGCACGGTGACTATAGTTAATACTGTATCGCGTATTTGAAAGTAGGTAGGAGAGTGGATCTTGAATGGTCTCATTACAAGAAAAAAAAATTTTTGTAACTGATGACAGCTGTTAACTGGACTTACTGTGGTGATCATTTAGCAATATATACAAATAACGAATCATTACACAGAATACCTGAAGTTAATATGTTCCTGATGCCTCAATTTAACAAAAATTTCAGTTTCTCTTTTCCCCTATAGTCCATTAAAATGGTAAAGTGCCTTGAAAAAAAGAAATTCTCTCCTCCCCTCAAGCTGCTGGAAAGATCCTTGGGCATGATGAAATAAAATAGCTAGCCTGAAGATAAAAACCATGTTGTTCCTTGGGAGCTGGGGTGTGTACCAAAGAGGGGAGGGCGTCCACAGAAGTCCCACTGAGTTGGACAATGGCAGGAAAGGAAATCATCCGGCTGCCTGCCGCTGCAGTCTTCTTCAAGGCTGGTCTGGGCAGGCCTCCTCTCATAGGGATGGGCTATGCAGCTGTTCCCAGAACAGAAGGGAGTATTTCTTCAAATGATTTTCAAAATATGCTCATAAGCATGTGCGTGTGAGCAAAACAGAAGTGTGAGAAGAATTTAGATCTTAGAGGTCTTGAACATCAGAGCTTGAATTTTTTCCTAAATGACCTGATTGAATTTCAGAAAGATTTGCTTGGCTGCCTGCTATACTGATTGAATTGAAGGGTTCAAGAGTGGACAGAGTGAGGAATCCGCTGCAATGATCCAGGCTAGAACTGATAAGATCTGACATGGGGTAGTGGCCAGGAGATGGAGAAGTCAATACTGCTTCAGATTTGAGAAAAGGGACCAGAAATCCTGGTGAAGGGAACCAACAAAAGACTTACTGGCTCTGTAGCCAACCAGGGTGAGGGATCCTTTGCCCAAATCTGGGAGAACAGAGCAAAGAGCCTCCCAGAAAATTCAAATCTTGGTCTTGAGAGAAGACTTGGCCAGAGTTCAGCCGACTCATATAGTGCTGGAAGGGAAACTGGGGCAGACTCTAAGGCTGTACGTGGTCACAGAACAGGGGTGTTAGTCCCCAGTCTCAGATATTCTGCAGTGTCCACTCAAGCTCCCCCCCATTACCTCTGGAGAAGGAGCTCTCCATTCCTGCATACCAGCCTCCCCACCCCCACCCTGAGTGGTACAGAAAAGACCAGTGGGGAATGGCCATGACAAGGCTGCTGGAAGCTCCATTGAGGGGGATTTGCCCTAACTCCCACCCCGATGTGCAGAGATAAACACGGAATGTACAAGAGGTGCTGGCAGGGATGGTGGGGGGCTGGACAAGGCTCCAAGGGGGCAGAGTTTCTGGCATCCTAGCAAATGGCTAGAGGGAGCTTTTAGTCCTGGTCCCTCCCCTCCCCCCATCCCAAGACCAGCTCTTTCTCATGGTTCCTACCATTCCAGCCACCACCCCCCAACTTCTTGAACCTCTTTTTTGTTGTCAGTGGGGGAAAGGGAAACATTCTTGGTCTTGAATCGGACCCATTGGGTGGCTGCTTCAAAGACATATGTTTCCGTGATTTCACAACCTTGGATGTATACAGACAGGAGCTGGGCCAAGCTGTTGAAAGATGGGTGAAGCCTGGGTGGCAGATTCTAGGTATCTCAATACAGAACATCAGGTTCCAGTCCAGCCTTGGGGACTAATTTATGTGACTCAAGTCAATGCGCTCTTCCTTCTCTCAGTGTTTTAGTTCGTTCATCTGTGCTTTTGTGATTAATGAGGTCAATGGCAGAGGCCAGACTAGAAACCAGACTACAAGTCAAGGCCCATTTGGCTGGGATGTGGCCGGTCAAGGGCACTCTGCCCTCTGGCCCTGCCCTAGCAGACAGTGAGTGCTCAGTGGGCATGGCGTGTCCCCTCCTCCAGCTGAGCTGCCTGCCCTCAATGCCCTCTTAAAATTCTTAACATTTGACTTCATTTGTTTTTTTATTTTTCAATTGGCCACACCACATGGCTTGTGGGACCTTAGTTCCCTGATGACCAGGGATCAAACCCTAGCCCCCTGCAGTGGAAGCATGGTGTCCTACCTGCTGGACAGTCAGGGAACTCCTTCAGTGCTCTTCTAAAGGATACTCCTCCTCCAGGCCAGATGACTTAGGCCCTCCAGATTACTTTACCCACCCCCACCCTCCCATGCCATTTCAGCACACACTTGCTTGGTGCTGGGCTGTAGAACTTTATGCTACATGTTCTGTAATCTGAACTGTCCAACATGTGAGCCACTAGTCACACATGGCTTTTGAACACTTGCAATGTGGCTAGCGTGCCTGAAGAACTGGATTTTTAATTACATGTATTTAAAAATTAAATTTAAGAAGTGACATGTGACTAGAGGCTACCCAGTAGGATACAGCACAAGTTTTAGGCAGTTTTCCTTCAGTCCTTGTTTACAATCAAGAGTTAATAGGAGTTACCATTTACTAAACACTTACTCCTTGCCAATTTTTGCATAAGTACTTTACAGATATTTCTCAATAAGTCCTAGAAATTCTATTTTAAAGATAAAGAAGCCATTGCTTGAGAGGTTAGGTCAACTGTTTCAGACTGCATAGTCTGAAGTGGAGGGCCATTTAAGTGTGAGTCATGCTCTCCGGCCACTTAGGAAACTTCCCAGGACCCAGCTTACATGTCTTCCTTCTACAGTCACTCCACACATATCTCATGGCTATGGACCAGGACCTAGGAAGGCTCATCACTGAATATTGACTGGTAAATGCTCTTGACCAAAAAGAGAGGGAAGCTAATTCCATGTACTCCCCATCTCCTGGGGACTCCTGGCTCCTGACATTCCACTTCAGATGTCTCTTCTCTTGCCTTTCTCCTGGACCACAGTGTCCCCCAGGTCACAAACTCAGAGCTCAACTGAGTGCTCAGAGCGAGCCAGCTGGGCTGGGACCTGGAGCCTGGAAAAAAAATCCATGTTGTTTTTAAGCATAAAAAAAAAAAAAAACTACTATAATAGCTTTTATTGAGCACCTACTTGTGCCAGGCACTTTACATACATCTGTGCTTATAATTCCCACAACAACCTGGGAGGTAGGCATTATTATCACCATTTTATAGATGAAGAAACTGAGGCTGAGAGAGGTGAAGCAGCTTATTCAAGGCCACACAGTTTATAGATGAGTGGTACAATCAGGAGTGAGTGCTCCTAAAGTTTCACTAGAATTCTCCACAAAGAATTCTCCACAAAGGGGTGGAGGAGTGGGCAAAGAGATGCATTCTCTAGGGGGTGAGGGGCTGATTCTGCTGTCAGAGCTGTTAAGGGAAGCTGAACCCTGCCCTATTTCCCACCTCTCCACCGCTGGCAAGCCACTCCTTCCCCAGACTCAGCTGCAAAGGAAGAAAAAACTCTGGCTGCTCTTCTTAGCAAAGAAAAATTACTAAAATGAAAAATCTTACCCTGTGTGTATATTTGTGGGTGTCGCTGTATGCAACAGTTTGTGTGCTGAAGCACACCACCACCAGAATAAAAACATCCTTTCCCCACTTCCCCCCCCTTTTTTTTTTTGGTCTTTTCTGCCTCCTATTTTCCCACCCAGCTGGCAGGATTCCTGAACTGGGGGTCAAACTTGAGCCCACTGTGCTGGAAGAGGCGTGGAGCCCTAACCACTGGACCACCAGGGAATTCCCTAACATGGCTCCCTTTTAAGCCACACCTCTGCCATGTGTATATGGAGTGAGGCAGCTGCGAAATCTGGACAGGGCTGTTTATTTTCTATGAGAGTCCCGGGGGCATCACCTAGGAAGGGACCAGGTTCAAGGTCGAAACCTCAAGTTTGCTCCCTGCCCCCTCCCTCCAGGCTTATGCAGCCTCAGAGGTGTTGTGTTAATTCCACAGACCCAGGGACCCGTGGTGCCTCTCTGTCTCACACACACACATACACACAGAACACACACACAGGTTCTTGAGTTAAGGCACCAAGTCTGGCCTGCATGGCCTTGCGAGTCTTTGCCCATCAGGCAGTGGCCCTGGCCCAGGGCTGAACCATGTGTGTTCACAGATGCCTTAGGACGGGGTTAGGAGTCTCTTCTCAAACGAGGGGCAATGACGATGGCTCTGTCCTCCCAGCCTTAAGTACCTCCATCCGTTGTGGCCAGCTGGGTGGGACCAGGTCAGCCACAGGTCAGGCGAGTGCTGAGAACTCGGGGCCTGGCACTTTCCAACACCAAGAATGTGGCAGGAGGCTATTTTGGGACCTTCAAGAGGACCAAGTCACCATTTCAGGACAAAGACAGAAGGTGACGCTTCTTTCTGTGCCCTTCTGTTTTCGTTTTGGCCACTGTGGTATGCAGGATCTTAGTTCCCCTACTAGGGACTTAACTCCAGCCCCCTGCAGCAGAAGGATGGAGTCCTAACCACTGGACCACCACGGGAAGTTCCCCCTCTCTGTGCATTTAAAACCCAACTGTGTTTTACAGGAAGAGAGCTGATTTTTTTCCTCTGAGCTCTCTTGCCCTCATCCAAGGGAAGGAGTTTCTGTAGACTGGAGTGCCCCTGGAGAGGACGGCTGTAACAGTTGTGCACTGGAGTTGGGGGTGGGGGTGGTTGCTTCAGTGTCTTCTCCCCCGCACTACAGGAGCCGGTTCCAGCACATTTAGGTCAATTACCCACTTAGTGGGTGGTATAAAGTTGGGGACTTCCTGGGGGATACACGGTTGTGATTTTGAGGGTTAAAGGCCTACATGAAGACTAGGATTAGGGCTGCTAGGTTTCTGGGCCCTGGGCTGGGTCAGGATACCCAGATGAAGTAAGCGATCTCGTCCAGGTCAACGGGGTAATCGGTGAGCAGCACTGGCGTCTTGTCAAAAAGCTCACCTTTATAGCTGCGCCACTTGCCTGCGGGCAGGTAGACATCCCGCTCCTGCTTGCCCGGCTCCAGTACGGGCGCCACGAGCAGCGTGTCTCCGATAAGAAACTGGGAGTCAATGCGATGCGCCGTTTCATCGCCGGGCGCGATCCACCAGAGGGGGCGCACGATGGGGTCGCCCGTGTCAGTGACCTCACCCGCCAGCTCCAGCAACAGGGGCGCCACGAGCGAGGCCCTCAGCGCCGTGAACTTGTGCGCGATGGCCACCACTTCAGCGTCGTACCGCCAGGGCGGAACGGAGAACTGCATAGCTGGCATGAAGGCGGCCACTTCCAGCCAGCGCACGTACAGCTCGCGCTCCGGCACATCGCCGCCGCTGGTTGAGCGCTCAGATACAGCGTTGCCACCCACCATATCGGGCAGGATGAAGGGGTAGCCCAGCATGCTGACGGTGAGCACCGCGGGGATGAGCGAGCGCAGCCCCAGATCGTAGCCCCACACCGAGTCGCGGTCCACCAGGCGGAAAAAGCACGATATGTTCTGGGACTGATAGCCCACGCGGACTTCGGCCAGCGAGAAGAAGGGCAGCGCCATCTCCGTGTAGCGCCGGCTCCAGATGTTGGGATCAGACAGCGGCCTGTAGGTACTGAAGTCCCGGGGCAAATAGCTGACTTCGCCAGCGTCAAACTTGAAGGAGGCCACGGAGTAGCGCGAGCGCAGTCGCCTTAGGTGTCCTTGGAACCAGTCGCGGGCCTCGGGGCGCGTGAAGTCGAGCACTGCGCCGATGCCATTCCACCAGCGCACGAGAGCCGGCAGCCGGCCGGTGGGTTCGCGCACAAACAGCTCCCGCTCCACGCCCTCGCCAAAGCGGGAAGAGTTGTAGTTGACAAACGGGTGCACCCAAAGCGTGACGCGAAAGCCAGCGTCGCGCAGGCGGCGGAACATGTCGCTAGCGTTGGGAAACTTGGCCTCGTCGAAGTCGAAGTCGCCGTAGGCAGGCGTGTACATGTCGTCGATCTCCAGGTGACTGCTGTTGAAGCGGTGCTGGCGGATCTGCTGGGCGAAACGCCACACCTTGTCCTGGTCCACCGCGCGCCCGTACAGCACCCACGTGGACCAGATGGGGTCCCGGAAGGCCTCGGGTGCTGGCACCCTCGACGGCTTGTTGAAATAGCGCCGCACCATGTACTTGTGGATGGAGGTGACGTCCGAGCCGACGCACACGCGGTAGCTGAGCTCGGGTGCAGCGGCTCGGCCAGCGGGCGGCTTGTAGGGCGTGTCGTGGTAGCGAGCCTGCAGTCGCAGAGAGCGCTCCGTGCTGTTCCAGCCCAGGTGGAAGGGCACCGAGTCGTTGACCTTGATGGCCGCCGCGCGCGACGACAGCCAGTAGCGCTCGAGGATGCCGCCAAAGGCTGCATCGGAGGAGTAGACGTCGCTGGTGACGAAGGGCTGTGGCTCCTGCTGGCCGTCCAGGCGGATGGGCCAGTGCTGGGTCTTCATCTCAGCGCCGCCGTACCAGTGCGCCCCAGCATCGCCCAGGAACATGGCGTGCTCCACCGCGCGCCCCGGAGCCGCCTCCTCCCAGCGCACGCGGTAGCACATGACTGTGTCCTTGGGTCGCACGGTCTGGATGAAGAAGTGCAGCGGGCGCCCATCCGCTGTGCGAGAGCAGCCAAGCAGGGCGCCGTCGCGGCTGCAGGAATCCAGGTCCAGGACGCCCGAGCGGAAGGCCAGGCGGAACACCTGCTCGCCCTTCTGGTTGCGAATGGAGAAGCCACCGCGGTTGAGATCCAACAGCTCCGCGCGCAGGCGTTCCGCCTTTCGTAGAGAGGCGCTGTAGTAGCACCAGGCCACCACCGCGGCCAACACCAGCAGCAGCCCCAGCACCGCGGAGCCCAGCAGCGGCTTCAGGTCTTTGGACGGCTTGGGCTTGGTAGGGGAAAAGTTGTCAGGCAAGAAGGTGTACATGGTTGCGGCTGCGACAGTCTCGGGAGTCTTATGACCTGTGTGGCTCCCAGAGCGGCGGCGGCGGGGGTAGGTCTGGGAATTCTCCTGAGAATTCTGGGGCATCAGCCCCCAGTTAAGGAAGGAGCGGGCAGGCGGGCCACCCGACAAAGCCAATCTGAACCTGGCCGGCCTGATTCAGGAAGGGGAAGAGAGAGGTGGCACTGAGCCTTCTCATTCCACAGTATTTACATTTGCTTTTGTAAGAAAGAAGTGTGTATTTTGGGCAGTTGTATACTGGGATGTCAAGACTTTACTCTTACCAGGATGTTCTGTCTGCACCTTACCTACCCTTTCTCATGGGCACCCTGTTTGCCAAAATTAGTCAGGACTCTGAAAGGAGAGGTAGCTCAGAAGGTAAAGAATCTGCCTGCAATGCAGGAGACTGGGGCTTGATCCCTGGGTTAGGAAAGTCCCCTGGAGAAGGGAATGGCAACCCACACCAGTATTTTCGCCTGGAAAATTCCATGGACAGAAGAGCCTGGCCGGCTACAGTTCATGGGGTCTCAAAGAGTGGGACATGACTGAGCGACTAACACTTTCACTTTCTGAAAGGGGAGGGGCAGATGACATGCGTCTCCATTTTCCTGGTGGAGGAACAAACCCAGACAGAGTCAGGGAGCTGTCCAGGATCACAGAATTAATCAGGCCTCCCTGGATCACACATGGGGGCTGTTCAGGCTGATGAGAAGGGGAAGGATCTGGAGAAGGCCTAGTCTCCCAGAGTGGTGGCCATGATTGTGAGAAGGCAGATAAGCCTGCAAGCTCCTTGAGACCTTTAACACTGTGCATAGGGCTGCATAGGGCTGGCTTCCCCATGCAGGAGGGGGAGAGGAGAAAGGAAGGGGAACAGCTCAGACATGGAATTTAATCTTGAGTCAGAAGTCATATTAAATCTGGAGATTGGACAAGTTACTTGAAGCCAGACTCAGTCCTAGGGCCTGGTTTGGGGTGGGGGGAGGGCAGGGTGGGTTTGGACATTAGGAAAGGGTCAGGAGCTTAGTATGAGGGCCTGGAGGCTTCTCACATCTCCCTCTCTGCTCTCAAATGCCCCTCTACTCTCAGCCATCAGGACCACCAAGTCCCTGTCCCTGCCCACCTTCCTGCTCTGCTCCCAGCACCCACATCTGTGGGCCAGTTACCTCCTGGCTTTGTCTCCAGCACTCTCCCACTGTCCTGTTTGCTCCTATCCTCATGAGAGCACTGTTATTTCTCTCCTGTACCATTGCAACACTTCCTCAATAGGCCTCCCTGATTTCAACTTCTTTTCCCCCAAGGCCTTCTGCTCCCAGGTACTAACCTGATCTTTCTAAAGCACTTATCAGATTACATCTCTCCCTAGTTCAGGGAGCTGCTCAAGAACCCCATGATGTTCAGAAGACTAAGCTTTGCAAATTGAGGCTCAAGGCATACATGGTCTCACCTGTCCTTCTGATTCCATTTCCACCCAGGCTTATCCTATGACTACCAACCTCATTCCTTCCTTAACCTAAATCCTTCAGGCCACCTGCTTTAGGAAATTTCACCCACCCATCTTGGGTCAGTTTCTTTTCCCCACCCCCAACTCTCTGGCAGTCAGACACCCACTATTACACACATACATTTATGCATACTGTATGCAAAAGACTCAGATATGACTGCAGAGAAACACAAACTTGGGAGGAGGTATGTCCCAACCTGCTGTTCAAGGCTACTGACCCTTCTTGTCCCCGCCCTCAGGGCAGAGTCCAACAAAGAAATAGCACCAACCAGGTGCATACACAGATATATACACTGCCAGCCCGCCAGCTGCCCACCTGCTCCAGCTGGAGGTTGGGGGGGGGCATGGTGGGGAGGATAGAGGAGACTGACAAACAGTAATTAGACTCCTCCCAGATTCCAGTGTCTGTTTCCAAGTCCCCAGAGACTTCCAAGGACTTGCCAGAACTGCTCAGGGTGTCTCACCTCCTCCCCCTCCCCCAAAGACATTATCAAGAATGCCAGGTGCCGATCAGAAGTTTGATCCCAGATGTCAATATACAGCTCCCAATAATATCCTCCCCCACCCCCTACCAGTGAGGTTCTATCTCGGGGCCTTATTCTCTGAGCTCCTTCCCCTAACTCTCAAAATTGGTTAGTTCCAGCTGGTCTAGAACAGCCTCTTACTCCCTTCCTCTCATCCTACACGGTTTAGCCTTCAAAATTCCCCCACTTCACTACGGACTCCCTTCCTGTAGGCGTAGGTTAGAAAAGTCCTGGAAAGTGTAGGCAGTAGCCTTTAGCTGATGCCCTTAAACTAGTGTTAATTCGCTCAGTCACGTCTGACTCTTTGTGGCCCCATGGACTGTAGCCCACCAGGCTCCTCTGTCCATGGAATTCTCCAGGCAAGAATACTGGAGTGGGTTGCCATGCCCATCTCCAGGGGATCTTTCCAACCCAGGGATCGAACCCTGGGTTCATTGCAGGCAGATTCTTTACCACCTGAGCCACCATGGACACCCTTAAGCCCTTAGGCTAAGCAAGACCCAAAGCAGGCTTTGGCAGACCAGGCCACCAAAATTCATTCAAGACAACCACGGTGCCTTCTGGGCATCTAGGGAGAAAGGGTCTGTATCTAATATAAGAGAGATAGCTCATCCTCAAAACTATCATATTAAGCCAACCATCTAATGACCCCTGGAGGCATGGAGAGGCCACCAAGGTGTCCTCAAAAGCCTTTTCAAACACTTGGGTTCTAAGAATCTTTTCTTACTACAGTTCTGAGGTTCTTTGGTGAAGAACAAAAACCCACAGGCCCTGAACCCTAACAATAACACTGAACTAGGTGGGGGCGGGGGGTGCACAGCAGCAGTGCCACTTTACAGATGAGGAGATAGTGGCCCAAACAGAAAAAGGAGCTTGTTTGAAGTCACTCAGATAGCAAGGTTTCTTGAGTCCAAAATTCCAGTTTAACCCCCACAGGGTAAGTTTTAGGAATGGGAGATAATTACTGGCTCTCTGAATGCAGTAGAGGAAAGGAGCTTTGTGGCCAAAGGGGTGGGACAGGCTTCCATCGGGTGGATGTGGGCATGGTGAGGCCTGTCCTCCCAAGGGCTGGTGCTGCTGCTGGCTCCAGGAAGGCTTCTTGGGGGTGGGAAGTGGCAGTTTTAATGGCATCTGGTACAGGGACTGTGGTTCCGGTGTTAACAGTGGCCCTGGAGACCCCTGTAATCTGCCGCCTCCGCCATCTGGCCAACCACCGGCTAAGGCTGGTAGGTGGGGGTTTGCCTTAGCCAAGCCTCTCCCCACTTGATGGTCAACCTCAGTCTTGGCTTCCGGTCTCTAGCTAGCTCTAACGGGGAGGGTCAGGCCCAACCCAACTGAGGGGAGGCCATTCCACGTTGAGTTGTTTGTCCAACACAATTCCCAGGGGTAAGGTGGGGGTGGAAATGTCAAAGGCAACTCGATCCGGGCCCCCTCTCCCCGTCCTGCGCAGCGAAGGGATCCGGGGGTATCGAGTGACTGAGTCTACAGCCTGGAATACCCTACACCCACTGCCAATGCTGCAGCTACAATGTCCGAAGGGACAGACTGAGGTCAAGGGGCCGGTCGCCAGCTGGTGACCGCGGCCCAAAAAAGGAGACCAGGTGTCTAGGTTCACCCCACCTACTCATCTGTAGGAGAGAAAGTGCAGGAAATACTCCCCCAGCACCCTCCACCCAAGGTCTTCCCTCGGGGCTCACTCACGGCAGTGACCCCAGAAGTGGGGGTGAAGGGAGGCTACCGCAGATCCCCTCCAAGCTCGCAGAAGTTGAGCTGGTACGGTGCGACCCAGGGCGCTGCCTCGCTGGGGACTGCCGAGGCCGTCCTCAGGCCCCGCCCCCTGGCTGCTCGGCCACGCCCCGGTCATTCGGTCTCGCCTAGTCTCGAAGTCCAGCTCCGCCGCTGGCGTCGGACCATCCTCCCACATTGTCACGCGGACTAGAGGCCACGCCCCTTAGCCCCTACCTTCCCCGCCTCTGCCCTGTGCCCAGCTCGGGGCAGCTCAGGCCAGCCGCCTGCCTGGTGCTTCCCGGCTCACCACCCGCTTCCCCGCTCCCCCAGTCCCCGCCCCACTCGCCTGCAGGCCCGCCCCTGGTGGACTGTTGCTCACCCACACGCGGGCGGGGCTCTGCCCGAGGCCTGCTGGGAAGTGTAGTTCTGGAGGAAAGTGCCGCTGCCGAAAGTTAGGATACTCAGAACTTCAAGACTAAATTTAGGATGTGTGTGAGAAGGCGCGAGCCTCAGGGTAATGGGCCAGAGCTGGCTCTCGGGATTCCTTTTCCTCCAGGTTTGGGCAGGTTGGGGCCGTCTTGGGATAACGCTCTCATCAGCTCTTTTCCCATATGGAAAAAGGGTAGGGGGATTCTGGGAAGATCCCAGCGGTTCAATGCAGGTTGGATCCAATCAAGGACCCCACGGAGTGTAGCTTGGTTCCATCATCCGGGAGGCCCGATCTGTCAGTTCCCACCGGACCAGACCAGCAGTGTCTGAGGTTAGGGACTGGGAAGCCCAGATTCTGCTTGGTATTTTGCAAAGTCTTCCCCCACCCACTTCCCTTGGTGACTGCCCCTGTAAATACCCGTGTTGCGAGGAGGTGGGTGTGACCCAGCATACACCTGCACCTAGGAGGAATGGGGTGAAAAAATACAAACGATCCCAGAGATTCCAGAACACCCCAAACCTTGCTTCTTGAGGGACAGAGAAACAGGGCTTTGTTGTGTGACTTGAAAGATTTCTTGGTCACGAAATCTTCCAAAGTTGTTCTGGACCCCACCCCTTGCACTTGGGTTGGGGAGGGCAGTAAGGGGTTCTGTATAGACTTTAGGGTGGCTGTGATGGAGATTTTGGGAACAGAGATCAAGAGATTGGGTAAGGGACATGACTCTGACTGCAGGATGGAGGATTCTGGTCCACTGAGATATGGGGGTGATGAGACATCTAGGTTGGAGGATATTGGGGAAATATCAGCTGTGCCCTCCTGGGATGGGAGGTGAATGGGCCCTCCTGAGTGGCTAGGTGGGCCCATTAGTTTTGGCTCTGGAGTGGAAAGGAGGACATGCCCCTCATAGAGCTACTGTTATATGTCAGGAGGGCACTCACTGCCACCCATGGGAACTACTGACATGATGGGGTGGGGAGGGCTCAGTGCAGGATGACTTTGAGAAACTGCATCTCTGCTGATGAGGCGTGGCAGAGGCCTGAGTGACTGACTCCTTATGCCAGATCCTGCTGGGTGAGGATGCTGCAGGCAGCCTTTAGGGTGAAGAATTTATTTATTGTTCAGCCCCCTTGGCCTGGCCAGCCTGGGCTTCTACCAGCAGTGGTAGTCAGGATAGGTCTCAGACACAAACTCAGGGTGGACGACATAGTTATTTCTCTGGGAGCCACCAGTCTTCTTGAAGTGACTTGTGTCCCATCTGTGTGGAGAGATGGGTCAGCCCTTTTGGACCCTCATACATCTGACTCCAATTCTCAGTGTTAATCTTATCCCAACATTTTGCCCCTAATACTGACCCTAGGCTCCAACATTGACCTCAGGCACTACTGTTAAATTTTTGATTCCCAATACCCTCTCCCTAACATTGACTTCCTACCCTTTAACTCAAAAGCATCAATTGATGCTTTAGAACTGTGGTGTTGGAGAAGACTCTTGAGAGTCCCTTGACTGCAAGGAGATCAAACCAATCAATCCTAAAGGAAATCAGTCCTGAATATTCACTGGAAGGACTGATGCTGAAGCAGAAACTCCAATACTTTGGTAACCTGATGGGAAGAACTGACTCATTGGAAAAGACCCTGATGCTGGGCGAGATTGAAGGCAGGAGAAGGGGATGACAGAGGATGACAGAGGACAGGTTGGCTGGCATCACTGGATTGATGGACATGAGTTTGGGCAAACTCTGGGGGAGTTGGTGATGGACAGAGAAGCCTGTCATGCTGCAGTCCATGGGGTCACAAAGAGTCGGACACAACTGAGTGACTGAACTGAACTGAGCTGAACCCTTTAATTCAAGCCCTGAACCTAACACCCTGATCTCTTGACTCTAAGCCCCACTGAAGCCCCATTGCTGCTGCTGCTGCTGCTTCTAAGTCACTTCAGTTGTGTCTCTATCTGTGCGACCCCATAGATGGCAGCCCACCAGACTCCTCTGTCCCTGGGATTCGCTAGGCAAGAATACTGGAGTGGGTTGCCATTTCCCTCTCCAATGCATGAAAGTGAAAAGTTAAAGTGAAGTCCCTCAGTCGTGCCTGACTCTTAGCGATCCCATGGACTGCAGCCTACCAGGCTCCTCCGTCCATGGGATTTTCCAGGCAAGAGTACTGGAGTGGGTTGCCATTGCCATCTCCGGAAGCCCCACTGCCAACTTGTAACTCTTCAGTGCCAATCTCCATGCCCTCTCCTGGGGCTCTGGTTTAGTTGCCAGTTTGACTTCCCCATGGCACTAGCGCCCCCTTGTGTCATCTTCCCGTCGGTGCATTACAGCGAACAGTTCTCACCCCAGCTAGTCCCTGGGTCCCCCGCCACTCAAGGTTACAGCGTCTTTTGTGGGTGCGAATTTGCATGTGTGTGCGCCAGACTTACCTAAGGTTCGGACAGGGGTAGTACGACGGCTGGGGAGTTATAACAGCACATTGCATTCCGGGTCGGTGCTCGCAGGGAGACACACTCCTGAAGGAAGAAAGGGTAGGCAGGAAGGAGTCGGGCCTTTTCACTTCTCCCCACACCCCAGCCCAGACCAGGACCCTGAGCCGCGTTTCAGGTGTCTGTCCTACGGCTCGGAGATCCTCCCCTCCAGCCTCCTGGCCCTTCAAGATCTCCTCGAAGTATTGCCTCCAGGAAGACACCTGAAAGTCCCTCTCCCCACGAGGCCTGGTTTCTGCCTCCCAGGCTGGACCACGGAGAATGTTGTGCTCCGGGGAGCGTTAGGGGTCCAGTCATTGAGGATCCTGGATCCTCGCTTATCGGCGAGGCGACTTTCTGAGGCTTAGGCACTTTCTCCCTCCTCCACACCTTGTGAGTGATAAGACCCAGTTTCGCTCAATACATCAGGCTCTCTCAGCCTGGGGAGGGACGGGGTGTCCCCACGGGGTTAGGGACAGGGTTCAGGACCCCCTCCCCCTTTCGCAGCTCCCTAGGCAGACGCGGATGTTGGAGTTCTCCCCGGCTCAGCCCGCCTTGTCTAACGCCAGGAGCAGGGTGATAGATGGCAATCTGAGCTTCTGCTGAGCGCCTGAGCCTCAGTTTCCTCCACAATAACACGGGAGGCTGTCTATCTCCGGAGGTGGTGCGGGGCTCCGAGGAGGCCAAGACCCTTCTGTTACCCACGTGGTCACCATTTCCTCGCCCTCTTAGAACCCAACGATAACCCTGCCGATGTACCAACCACGAGGCCCAGGAATAGGGGACAGTATTCTGAGGACACGTGGCGCTCCGCAAGCTAGAACCTGCGTCTCCAAGGCCTGGTGGCCAGGTAGGGGGCAGGGCTGGCGAGCGAGGGGACGGGATGAAATTGGTGCGCGGGGTGTGTGCCTCCAAGAAGCTCTTAGGGGAGCCTCCAGAAGACAAGCAAGAGCCAGGTGGACCTTGAGCCCAGTTTGTGCAGGTCTCTCCCCTCAGCAGTCTGCTCAGGCCATGAGGCCCAAGGAAGGGACAGGGTGGCGCCCAGCAAGGGAACCGCGCGGTCTGGAGGCGGAGTGGGGTCTGGCGCACAGGCCGGGATGTTTGGGGGCGGAGCCCGGCGACAGCGCGCGCGGCCCTGCGAACCTTACAGTAGGCAGCTCTGTGCATAAAGGCCGCAGGCGGCGTTCCGTGCAGGGTGGCCCGGAGACGCTGTAGTCCATCCCACGCAGACAATAGTGGCGGCCCGAGCAACTGCTCTCATAGCCCTGAAAGGGCAGGCGGCCCGGCAGCGGGTCCACACACCCGCAGCGGGGCGTGATCTGTGGCAGCGGCTGGTTTCGTGACAGCGAGTTCAGCATGTTCACCACTACCTCGCGCTCTGCGCCCGCGAGCCCCGAGCCCGGAGACCCAGAGACAGAGTCACGGGAACGGCCAGAGAGGAGGTCAGAGACAGGAAGAGATGGAGACACAAGCCGAGACAGGGTTACAATCACTCCAGGGCCCTCAACATTTGTTCCATATCTCGAGTCTCCATCCCTCCGGCCTTCTGGTCTACCCATTTCCCTCTGCTTTCCCTCCATCTGTTACCGTAGGCATTGAGTCGCTCCGGCTTAGGAGGATACACCAAGGGCATTCCTCGAACCACTGTCTCCATCCCAGCCTCCTGGAAGTGGCAGAAACGCTACCTCAAGTTCTGACCCAGAAGAATTCCTCCCTTGGTGGGTTCTCCCAGAACACCCAGACTAGTCCCAGGCCGCGCCTTCTACTCTCCAACGCTCTGAGTGTTTGGGGTTGTCGCCCGGCAACGCCGTTTACTCCACCTCCCTGTGGGGGTGGGGCGGTGGGCATGGAGGTGGGGGAAGTGGAGCTGTAGGTGGACCCGGTCTGTACCTGGGTCCCTGCCATCCCTGTCTCAGCGTTTGCCTTTGATTTGACCCCTCCTTATCTAGCCGACTCTGTGTCTCCGTGTCTCTCTAAAAGGAGTTTTTAAATATTGCATTGTTGCTTGTCCATCAGAATCATTTGGGGACCTTGTGAAAATTTCTGATTCTTGAGGAAGTTCTAATTCAGAAGGGTTCAGTTAACCTGAGGTCAGCCATCAACCTACAGCTAAGAGCCCCTATTATAGCCTGCAATCCTCTCATATTCCTTCTTTCTTGATGCCTGAGGTCATGTGCGGACTCTTTCCTATCTCCTTGGAAGACTGTCCTGTATCTATCTGCTCTGTCTCTGGAGGGCCTTGTTCTGCCTCCTTTTGTCCTTGTTATCATCACAAAGGAGAGGAGCAGATAGACTCAGCCTATCACTGACTCCTTGGCCAGACCACTAGAGAGGGGCCAGGTGGCAAGCTTCAGGAAGGTAGCACATCAAGGAGTTTGCACCAGCCCCTGTCTCCACACAGCCTAGCCAGAGATTGGGACCTTGGAGACCCAGTTCCTAGAGACTGGGACTCAGGGGCCCAGCACAGCTTCTCTCCCGAGCTCCCTTGTTTCCTAGAAAATATAAACCCTAGTCTCACAAGTGGGAAAAGGCCTTGGAACCTTGGTGGGAAAGGAATGAGAAACTAATGGTGAAATGTCAGACCCTGTGATTTGGGAGGCAGATGGTGGGGGTGCCATCCCAGACCCCAGGCGTCTTTGCTGGGCACAGTAGGTACCTTAGGCAGCCGGGGAAGGTATGTGGTACATTTGTTCCAGCAGTTGTAAGGTCCCATCCTCCATGTGTTATACCGGTTACTGCACAGGTAGTTTGGGTTGCCACACAGATAGTTTGGGTTGCATTTGTCTGCTTGATCACAGGGGTGGAGATATATAAGACAAAATTACTCCTTATTCTTTCTTTTTTTCTAGGATTACTCCTTATTCTATCCCAGGATCTGGGGAGACCCTAAATGTCTCTCCTCTGATCCCTATCACAAAGCTGGACTCCCACTAATCTCCCTTAGGCCAGAAAAGCCCATCCTGGCCCCACATTTGTCTTAGATACTGAGATGCAGCCTGAATCCCACCTAAAGCAAGCTTCTGAGTGAGGTCTGTGTCCTTTGAGCTGGTTACTTTTCATCCTAGCACCACTCTCTCTGAATCAGCCAACGTGGAAACCCTGGAAATGGTCCTCCTTTCAAATCTTCCCTTTCATCTTCCACATGCAGGCTCAAAGTCTGCTTATTCTGCCTCCTTAAAATCGCTTGATGAAATCCTTCCTCCAATCCCCCATGTGGTTCTAATTTCAGCTCTGCCAGATATTAACTGTGGGTGACCTTGATCTAGTTAATTTCATCTTGTCTCTGTTTCCTTACTTTTAATATGGGACTAATAATACTATCTACCCCACAGGGTTGTTGTGAGATTTAAATAAGTTATTATATGTAAAACACTGAGAACAATGCCTGGCATGCAGAAGACTATCATCATCATTATTATTGTGATTATTATTGCTATTAGTCTATTGATCTTCCTACCTCATTTTGAAATCCTACAATCCAATCTCTACATAGAAACTTTGGCACTTATCATAAATGAAAATCCCCATGTAAAAACCCTCCAAAGCTACACCCACGCAGTCCCCTAAGTCTGTCCTGTAAGTTCCTCTGTGATCCACCCCGCTAACAGTGTGAAAGAACACACCTGAGAGATCAGGAAAGCAGGTCTAGGGGCCACAGAGGAAGAGCAGGTGTGTGTACATGTGGGGCAGTATGTTGGGACTGGGGGGGTCCGGGTTGGAGGGTTGGACATGCTGAGTTTGAAGTGTTTGGGGCCATTTAGGTAAATCTGATCATAATCAGATAAAGGAGAGTGGAATTCTGGTGAGAGGTCAAGGCTAAAAATAAAGACTTGGAGTTGTCAGTAATTAAAGTTGTGGGTTAAATTAAATGGTCCCAGGAGAGAAATGAGAAAGGAGGGCTCAGATCAGCATCCCAAGAAAACCTATGTTTCCAGAATGATTAGACAAGAGACCCAGGAAATTGAGGCATCAGAGAAGCTCGTGGGGTTTCACATCTTCCTTTCACAGATGGAGGGAAGGAGTTTCACAAAGTAGAGAGTTGTCAGAATGAAATGCACAGGGTAGGTCTCATAAGGAAAAGACTGAAGAGTTCCATGGATGAGGTAACTGGAACCATACAAGATCAATTTTAATAACATTAAATATAAGTGTAGGAGATGCAGATTGCCAATTTCAATTGAACATTAATCAATTCATTCAACAAATACTTAGGAAGCCTGATGCTATTCTGGAAGGAGGGGGCCTGTTCTAAATAAAAACAGGACTTTCTGCTCTTTTGGAATGTATAGGGAGACAAATAATAAACACCTAACCAAATGAGAAAGATGATTTCTCACAAGGCATAAGGAGTAATTCTTATTTTCAAGAATCTTGGCTGTTAGGGGGAGGAGAAAGAGATAATTTTTAGGCAGAGGAAAATTAGAAAAGGCTTCCAGGTTGAGTGGAGAGAGGTGTGGTGGGGCAGGGGGATGCAGGAGAGAAGGGGAAACTGATGGAACAAGGCCACCAAGAAGACGGGAGAAGATGGCACCCAGAATACACATGGAGGAATTTGTTTGGAGGAGGTTAATGCTCCCTCCCTTACTCTAGGGATAAGACCAAGGCCTCTTCCAGTTTCTTGGCACAGACTGGGAGCTCCCAAAAGGTAGAGCCTGGATCTCCTCCTCCAGGGTCAGGGGTCAGGGTCAGGGTCAGGGCAGGTGGTTGGGACTCAAGCTAGAATGGGGGAGATAAGAATAGAAAGCCAGGTTGTGGATGGGGATAAGGACCAGGGTGGAGGTCAGGATTCAAGTTGGGTTCAGGTGTAGGGTCTTTTCTGGGGTCACTGAATGGGTGAGTGGTGAGGCCCTACCTTCCTCTGGACAGAGCCAGTATTTCTCAGGGAAGTAGGGGTGGCTTGGTATGGAGCCCCTGTAGCTGTAGTCCTGCCCAGCACACCTGAGCATCTTCTGCAGGGCGTCAGGATCCACATGGCGCTGTGCAGTCTGAGTCAGGCCCTGGGCAAGGGGAGAGGGGAAGAGATGGCTAGGTGCATGGGGACCCCAGCCTTGGCATCTGGCTGGACCTAGATTTAGCTCTTGAGGTCAGCCCAGGTGGGTGTTCCACCCCCTCCCTATGCTGGAGGGATATCCAGGCCAGCTTTGCTTGAGTCACTCTTTCTTCCAGCTAAGGATTTGGAACCTGACATTTGCCCTCAATCAGAGTGATTTCCTGATGTTCTCATTTCTGTCCTTTCCTTGACTAGGACTTCTAAGGGCAGAGCAAAGTGTTCTTGTTTTCTTTCTTTCAGACTGTGTGCTGCCTGGGATCAGGGTCTGGGTCTCCCCCAACAGAGCAATAGACCTGTGGTAGAACCTGGAGCTTCAGGACAGCCTGGCTGCCTTGGGAGCTGGCTGCCTTAGGCAGGTGTTTAGGGCAGGGAGGACTCTCGAAGAATCTGGCACCCTAAAGGAGATGAAGAATGGGGACAGAGGGGCACCTACTTTAAAAATCGAATTCTCTGACTCCAGCCTGACCTGAATTCTGCTGTGGCTCTCATCTTGACACCAGTATTACGCTTGACCCTGACATTCACAATGTGCTATTCTTTATCCTAGCCTGACTTTTCCCCTGATCTTGGTTCAGACTCTAGGTCCCTCTGCTTCTTGGGGTTCACCTCATCTTATCCTATCACCCCAAATTCCAGATCAACATCTCCCCTTGGGGGCTCCCTTCTTTACAGCTAAATGTAGATTGCCAGGTTAGTTGTGGGCCCGTGTCTCTGTAGGCATCCAGGATGAAAGGCAGCTGGGTTACAGAGGTGGGACACCCAGCAAGGTCAAATACCAGAAAGGACTTCCTCATCATGGCGGGCAGCAAGGTGCTGGGGTGCTGACGTTGCTACCACACTTCCCCCATGTGATCTAAAAAGCAGAGATTTCTCTTGGCCAGGGGTGAGACCTGCTGCTCCTAGCCCTCCTAGGCCCCTGAAAATCCCTCAGCTGAGGGGCTTCTTGAATCCTCCATGCTAGCTGAGGTTTTGTTCTGTGGGCAGATCCTGCATGGTCATACTCCATGGGGGTGGAGGGGCCCCAAGACTTAGCACTCCCCTGAGTTTTACACACACACAAACACATGCACGTCCAGACATACACAGAGATCTGTGCACCCAGATACACTCATAGACACATGTACAGATAGATGTACATCTATGCAAAAACAGTCAGACATGCTCACACATCCATAGACACTCAGACATGCTCACAAACCCACAGACACGTGTGCCTGCACACAGGCGCGCACACACACACACGTAGTCATTTAAAAGAGCCCATAGATATCTTCCACGTTTCCCTTTGAGGCTTCCCTCAGATATTTATAATCTTTGATTGTCTGTTCATGAATAGGAGACTATAAAAACTTACTGAAGGCTTTGAGCTGTGGGTGGGCATCATTGTAGGCAGGTCTGGCTAGACTATTTGTTGCAAACTCTGTCAGTATCTGTTAAGTCTTTTCTCTTGGGTTGATCAGATCTCTCTGAAGAGATTCTTTCAATCTTTGGCTTGAGAGTTGTACCTAGCTGCCAGTGTTTTGAGAACCTAGTGGAGAATACGGCTGCTGGGGGTTTTAGCATTCAGCATATGGAGATTCACCTGTTTTCAATATGGTACCCTGACCTTAGCTGGGCCTGGAATTCCCAGTCCTGAGATCCTTGCCAGAAAAATAAGCCTTCTGACTTTTGCAGAGATGGGCAAGTAGTCACCTTATGGCATGGAGTAGAGGAAGAAGTTAGTGGTTTTAATTGTTTCTTTTTATTTTGTTCAAGCCAAGCATTATGCAGGATCCTAGTTTCCAAATTCCCCCAGCCAGGGATCAAACCTGTACACTCTGCACGGGCAGTGTGCAGTCTTAACCACCGGACCACCAGAGGAGTCCCTTTAATTGCTTTTTAACAGCGTTCAAATCATTGTTTCAGCCTTGGTCCTGTCCCATCTTCAGTTCCAGAGAAGCCTAATATTACTAATTTCTGAACCTTTTGAAAATTCCACAGTTTTAAATTGAATTATGCCTTGTGTTTCCCACTATTAGCTTTGGATTCAGCTTTCTCAGAACTGTTGTCAGTTACTTAACTATCACACTTTCCAGCTTCTGAAATTTTGTGGTCATTGTCCCACTTTTTCACTATTTTTGTGAACTGATGTCTTAAATGTCCATTTATTGCAGTTTTAGAGGAGTTTTAGGAAGGAGTCAAAACATGTGCTCAATCTTAACCCAGAGAATTATAATCCTTTATACATTCTACATATTCTTTTGTCAGTTACATGTTACTATATCATCTCTCAGTTCATGGCTTACATCTTCATTTTCTTTTTGGTGTCTTTTGATGAACATAAGGTCTTAATTTTAATATAATTGAATTTATTAATCTCTTAGGTAGTGCTTTTGTGACTTAGGAAATCCACCCATAACCTAAAATAATGGAGATAATATATAATTTCTTCTAAAAGCTGTCCAGTTTTACTTGCTATATTTAAGTCTTAATTTGTCAGGAACTGCTTCTTGTGTTTGGGGTGAACTAGGGATCAATTTTTTTAATCCACAAGGGTGATCAGTTGTCTCACTGAGTAATCTAACTTCTCCCACAAATTTTTAAAAGTATTTATCTACTTGGCTGTGTTGGGTCTTAGTTGCAGCACACGAGATCTTTTGTTGTGGAGTGGGGGCTTCTCTAGTTGCAGCATGGAGGCTCCAGATGGCACCAGCTGGGTAGCTGCAGTGTGCAGGCTTAGTTACCCTGCAGCGTGTGGGATCTTAGTTCCTCAACCAGGGATCAAACCTGCATTCCCTGCATTGGAAGGTAGATTCTTAACCACTGGACCACCAGGGAAGTCCCTCCCACATATTTGTAAAGCTACCCCACCCTGATACATCTTGATAGCTTTACTTTCAATCATCTCTGTTGCATATTGTTTCCATTTATGTGTGGCTCCATTTCTGGTCTATTTTATTAATCAGTTTGTATATCCCTTCAGTAATACTATGCTTTATGAATTTCTGTAGATTGGTAATAAATATTATTATCTGATAGAGCAAGTCCTCATTTTCTTCAGGTGTGTTTTAGCTAGTCTTGGGCCTTGGCTCTTCTCTATAAATTTTAGAAACAGCTTGACAAATTCTTCAAAGAATCTTTTTCAGATTTTAATCAGAATTGTATTGAATCTCTAAGTTAGTGACTTTTCCTCTCCAAGAGCATGTTATGCCTCTTCATTTAAGTATTTTCTTAAAGTATTCAAAGTTTTATAATATTATCCATAGACTTTTTTTGCATAGTTTTTTGCATAGTTTTGCATAGACTGTTATTTAGTTCTACTAAGTTTTACTCTTTGATGCTCAAATGATATATACTTTAAGATTATGCTTCCAAAATACTTGTTTTTGATGTAAAGAAATGTGGTTGACTTATCTTATATTCATCTGACTTTCTAAATTCTCTTATTTGAATAATTTTCAGATTCTATAGTACAACTGTATCATCTGTGAATAATTGAATAATGGCAGTTTTTATAAAAATTCCTTTCCTATCCTTATATCTTACATGATATTGTTTTCCAATATATAATTTACATGGTAATGTTTTCCAATATTTTGGTTCTTTCTTTAAATTTTACAAGCTAAAAAAAAAAATAAATTTTACAAGCTAAAATTATTATAATGATTTTCTGTAGACAATTTTGCTTAAATTTATCTCATTTAACAGTTTCTTAGCTCATCATTCCTTCTTTTATCTCAAATTTTCCTTTTGTGATTAGTTCCCTTTCCTCAAAGTATATCCTTTAGAAATTCTTTTATAGTAGGTCTTATGGTAGTAAATGTTTTAATTTTTATTTGCCTGTAAGTGTCTTTATCTTATTTATTTATTGGTGTTGAAAGGAAGATGCATTGAAAATAATTCTCTCTGCATATTTTTAAGGTCATCTGTTAAGCTGGTGTTGTGCAGTTTTGAATGAGTTACCTAAGAATCGTTGGATTCATTTCTCGTTAGTTGTGGAAAATTCAGAGCCTTTTCCTCTTCAGATAATGCCTATTCTCCCTTCTGCTCTTTCATCCTAGGACTCTGAGTGGTTGTGTGAGATCTTCCCCTTCTTTCATGTTGCTTAATGTTTCTTCCATATTTTCTCTCTGTCTCTCTGTACTGCATTCTGGAAAATTTATTTCATTCTTTCATTTTACTGACACTCAGGTTTTTCTTTTTTTAAGTTTCGGCTGTGCCTGGTCTCTGTTGTGGCGTGTGGACTCACCACTGTGGCCCGTGGGCTCCTCTCCAGCCGCTGTGTGTGGACTGAGTTGCTCCAGTGGCATGTGAGATCTTAGCTCCCTGACCAGGGATCAAACCTGAGTCCCCTGCATTGAAAGGCAGGTTCTTAACCACTGGACCACCAGGGAAGACCCTCACTGACACTGTTAAGCTATGTCTAATTAGCTCTTTAAACCATCCATTGAGTTTTTTGTTTTAACATATATTTTATTTATATAATTTCTATTCATTTAAAAATTTGTCTGTCCTTTTAAGAACATGATCTCTTATTTCTTGCTCTTTTTGATGATTTCATATTTTATTTTTAAAGACTCATAGTTATTTTGTGAAGGTGAAGTCACTCAGTTGTGTCCGACTCTTTGCGACCCCATGGGCTGTAGTCTACCAGGCTCCTCTGTCCATGGGGTTTTCCAGGCAAGAATACTGGAGTGGGTTGCCATTTATTTTGTATTCTTTGTTAATTCCAATATCTTATGTCCTTAGAGGTTTAAGGCTATTGTTTATTGTTTCTACTGCCTCCATCATATGGTGGTTTGTTACCTTATATCTCTTATTATGAGCTCAGACTTGAATGACTGTACTTTGAAGGGCACCTAGAGACCTACATTGAAGATATTTTCCAACACAGAATATATATACATGTGTGTGGGGGTGGGGCAGGGAGCCAGGGATCATTGGATTTTCTGGTTCAGTTTGGGAATTACAGGTTTAGTTGCTCCATCTTGCAGCTAGTTTAAGGCTTAAACTCCTGCTTGTAGTACTGATAGTAGCATTTGTTCTTAGGGCAATCCTGTCATCTTAGTATACTTACCACTCATCTCCATTGACAGTCCAAAACCAAATAAAAATTAACTTTTATGCAAGACCTAGTTGTTTGGTAAGCAGGAGCGTCCTTCAGAGTTTTAGACCACCATACTGTCAGAAGCAGAAGCCTTTTCTTTCATTATTAATCCTACTGCTATTTGACTTTCATTCCTTTCCACTCAACGAAGCTGTATAGTCAGATGGCTAAGGGTTACTACAGCCAAGAGATCCTTTCTGTGCTGACAACGTTTGATACTGAGTTTTGTCTAATAATATTGTCTTGTTGGTTTCTCCTGGATTTTTCCTCCTATCACCCTGTCTCCTTTCATGGCTCTTCTTCCTTTACCTACCCCTTGAATATTGATGTTCTCCAAAGTTCTGTCCTTGGCCATTTTCTTACTCTTTTTTGGCAATCTGAATTACTCCTATGATTTCAGCTACCACCAATATGTTGATTTCAAAATCTACGTCTGTAGCCCAGACCTCTTTTCTTTGCTTCGGATAAGTATATCCAGCTACCCATCAGACATCTTTACCTGGAAGTCTTTGAATATTTTTGCCCCCAGAAGAACCCCAAACCTCTCTCTAATGTGCATTCCAAATCTCAGCTGGTAGCACTGACATTCCTCTAGTTTTCCAGAACCCTAAACCCAGGGGTCATTCTAATCTCTCTCATCTTCATATCCAGATGGTGACCAAGATGTGTTGATCTACTTCCTAAAAATTTTCTCCTATTGAGTTTGGAAAAGCAGGCAGGCATTTTCATATCTTGCTGGTGGGCATGTAGATTATTATGACCTCATCACAGCAATTTGAAGTTTATACCCCAAAAGTTTTTTGGATGTGACCTTTCTCCCAACAGTTTCATATCTATGAATTTATCCTAAGAGAACAGTTGATGTTACACAAAGAATGTACAAGAATGACTATACTAGCAAACTTTTATAAGCAATCTAAATTTCCAATAATATAAAATTCCTGAACTACATTTTGGTACATTCATAAAGTAAAACACCATACAGGTATTAAAATTACATTATTGAATATTTTCGACACAGGAAAATGTTCTTGATAGATGGTTTTGCAGAAAAAGCAAGATTCAAAACATGGTATACAACATGACACCACCTTCATAAATTTTTTTTGCTTCCTGAAAGGGCATGGGGTAATAAATTATCAGTGGTTATTCTGGGTAGTGAGAATTATAGGCCTTTTTCTTTGTGCTTCTCTTAGTTATCCCCATTTTCTGCATTGAGCATATATTTATTTTATAATTACAAAAATAATTTTTAAAATGTCCTCCTATTCAAAAAATTCCCCTTTTCACTGCTACAGACCTTCCTTATCTCCCACCTACATCCTCTCCCCTTATCCTTCAACATCTCGTGGGGCTTCCCTTCCCAGTCCCAGTCCCTTCAATCTCCTGCCACGGTGGCCAGAGTTGCTTACAATCCAAGCATGATACTCCCAGGATCAAAAACCTGGAGCATGATGATCGCATTTCTCAACACAACCTGTGGCTCTTCATGGTTTGCAGGCCCCTCTCTTACCGTAGGGCTGGATTCTCTCTCTGCTCTAGTCCTTAGTACCTGGTGGGTCCCTGACCCGGCGTTGCCCTTTTTTATATCTCTTCTGCTCGAAGTGTCCTCCTCCTGGCTCTCTTTTTTAAAACCAGTTAATTTATTTTTTGGCCGCGCTGTGTCTTTGCTGCCCTGCACAAGCTTTCTCTAGCTGCAGGCTCAGTAGTTGAGGTGCATGGGCTTACTTTCTCCGCAGCATGTGGAATCTTCCTGGACCAGGGATTTAACCTGTGTCCCCTGCATTGGCAGGTTTGTTCTTAACGACTAGCCCACCAGGGAAGTCCCTCCTGGATCTCTTAGTAGACCTGCCCTTCAGGTCCTGGGAGTGAGCTCTTCTTTCTGATTCTTCTACCAGCACAAGCCTCTGCTGTTGCATGTTTCACATTGGGCACTTTGTTCATTTCTTGCTGAGAGCTCCTCAGAGGCAATGCCTGGCCTTTCATGGTTGTAACTGTACTGTACCTGGCACACGTAAATACTCAGCAAAGTTTTGTTGGATGCTACACACAGATAATCTTCCTTGGGCAGAGTCACAAGTAGACTCACGCATCTCCTCTCCATTTTGTGAAGCTGCACAATCCCACTTGGCCACCTGTCTTCAACTACAGGAGACTGTGACACGCATGCATAAAAACATGCCTGTAGGCACAGCCCACAGGCAGCCTCAGGGCCTTTGCACTTTCTGATCACTCTGCCTGGAATCCTGTTCTTTCAGTTCCTCACATAGCTCAAAGGTGAGCTAGCTGTCGCTCACCTTTCCAGCCTCAACTCAATGTCACCTTGAAAGAGAGAAAGCTCTTCCATCACTCTCAATATAAGTAGCTCTCCCTGGTTACCGTTCATTTCCAGTACCATGTTGATTTACTTAACAGAATTTTGGACAATCTTGTTTATTTCTTATCATCTGTCTCTCTCCATCCCCTATCCTGGTGGAGTAGCAAGGTTCCGTGAGGGCAGGATCTTGTACTCCTTTATATATATTATTAGAAGTTTTATGCCTAAGCAAATGAATCACATACACACAAAACTACAAATAATTACAAAAACACAATGACAGCCACACCATCAGCCATCCAGACACCCACAGCCATACATTCTGGACTGCACTCCCCCAGACCTCCCACACCAGCTTGCCACTTACCGGGGTCACAAACTTGTTAGCTTCCCAGGCCCACAGAGGTGGGTCCTTGTAGACCTCCTTGATGGAGGTGGGGGCCCTGTAGGAGTCACTGTAGGTGCTGATGGGGGTCTTGGTCTTTCGGGAAAAGAGGAACATAGTGGGGTCTGGGGGACGCCCTGGTGGGCTCTACCTACCAAGGGCTCCTGCAAGACATCAGTGACCACCCTTTCTTTCCCAAACAGCCCGATAGGTACCCGTAGCTGCTGTGACCCCCTCCTGTGGAGGGTCTCTCAGCTTCCCTCCCTCACAGCCTTCTTGCTCCTACCCCACCCTGATTCCCTCTCTACGACGGGCACTGCCCATTATGATATCATCTGGCTCAGCCCCATCTCCGGGGAGGTGAAGATTGACTCCCCACCCCAGTTTCTTCCTGCCTTCAGCCTCTCAAAAGGGCCCAATTTCCAAGAGTTCACAAGGTCCCCGGAGACCTTCTAGGCCAAAGCTTCTCACTGTGGTGAAGAGGAATGGAGATCCCGAGGGGTCAAGTTCAGAGGGTCTGTTCTCTGCCCTTCCCGGCCCATCTGCCCCTGGCCCCGACCCCAGGTAGGGAGCTGAGGCTAGCTTGTTTGATGCTTTTAATATCATTATTTGTGTTACACGATACACAACCAAGGATGATGGTCAATACTGCGATGGAAATGTTAAAAAAAATATTATACACGGCTCATGTCTTCCACACACCTTCCTGGAAATAAATTAGTGAGCACGGAGAAACCTGGCTGAGTGGCAGCCAGTGCTGAGGGCAGGGAGTGTTAAGGCAGTATCTACAGGGGGAGGGCGACAGGGCAAGCCAAGGCCTCCGTTCTCCCCTCCAACCTCCTGGGTAGGAAGGAGGGAACTGCGCACTCTCCCTACACCCAGAGGGTGCTAGCCACCAGCTTCCTACTTCTCTCCACCACATGGCCTCAGCGAGAGGCCCCTGTCTGCCAGGGGATTAGGTCTATCCTGTGGGGAGGGAGCCTTTCCCTTGTTCCTCAGGGCCAGAGAGGTGGAGCAATGGGCCAGAGTCACACAACATGTCAGCAGCAAAGGCAGCTGTCTAAATGAGCCCTGGTGGGAGCCCTGCCTGGAAAAGAGGAGGTACCCGTGTTCTTGAAGGGTGAGTCAAGGAGCCCGGGGTGGTGGTGGTAGGAAGCATGGCTCTGGTGCCCAGATGACAGGGGGTGGGTCTGCTGATCAGGGTGGGAGCAATGGGCTCAGATGGGGACCAGTCTGGGCCATGTGAGTCCTGCAGCTGACTTCTCTGTCCTTTGTTTCCCTTTGGCATTTCCTCCCTGAACTAAGAGGAGGTGGGGTTGGGTTGGAGAAGTTGAGGGGAGCTGGCAGCCCCTGGGTGTGGTGCAGAGAGAAGTGATACCCTTCCTAAGCCAGCAGCCTTGCTGTCTCTCCTCTTTCCAGCCTCCCAGGACGGCAGCCAGGGGCTGGGCTGGGGGTGTGGCCTGCGCACACTTGCAGCATGTAAGTGGTATGTATCAGAGAGGACTGGCCAGCATGTGCGGGATGGGGTCGGCCTGAGGAATGGCCCTGGGGTATGGGGTTCAAGGAGCAGAGACCTGAGCGGGTGTAGGCCATCTGTGCGTTTGTTTTTCTTCACCTGGGGGCAGGTCTGTATTGCCCAGGCCCAGGGGAGGGCCTTGGTCCCCTCCTCCCTCTTGATTTTCATCCTCAGCTTCTCTGGCCACCAACCCCGCCCCTCCACCAATGAGTAACAGCGGCAGAAGCAGCAGTAGATACACACGTTCTGACTCTCACACACCCCATAGATACAGCTATACACTGTATACAGTTACACACACAGGTACAGCTACACACACAATAGATACCCACATACACAAATACATTCACAGACACACACACTCACATTGCCCCAAAGATCCACATGTATTCAGACATGCACAGGTCCCATAGGAACTTCCCCCTTTTTTCTCCACACAGACATGCAGCTCAGGAAGACCCCAGGTATACTTGAAGACACCCAGAGACCTCCCTGTCCACCTCCAAGGAAATTCCTATGAAGAAATTTCTTCAGGTTTGAAATAACCTTCAAAATAATTTCAGATGCTGCTCACTATACCGCATAGGAAACAGAAGGCCAGAGAACATAACTGGCTTGTTGGAGGTGAGAGGAAGCGTGCCCGAGCGAGGACCAGAACTGACTTCTGACCCCCCGCCCAGGGCTGTCGGTCCCCTGAACTGCTGAGCGGCCTCTCACGCTGTTAACAGGTCACACAGTCATTTCCCCAACATGGTCACCACAGTCATCTAGAGAGACAGGCCCAACCCAGAGATGTAGACACACACTCTGACAGCCCCAGGTGCGCACACATTCTGCCAAGCCATCCCTACCATACACCTGCTGCCACTGTATTCTCCCAGGCTTGCTTTCTTGAAGAGTCTTCCTGGGAAGCAGCCTCTAGGATCTTGTGCTAGAGTAAGACCACAATGGGGCATTCGAGGCCAAAGCCTTACCTCCTGCTTCCAGCCCAGGATAGATGAACAGAACAGAAATGTGGGGGGCAGGGAAAGGGGTGCAGAGAGATAGATGTGTTAGTTAGGGGCAGGTGAGGACGGATCATACCATCTAAACTCTGGCTGTCTCTAAGGCCCACCTCACCCGCCATGCAATCCAGACAGCAAGGAAGGAGGTGAATGGGGCAAAGTGGAGGAAGATGGCAGTGATCTGATGGGTGGGGGACAATATCCCACTGGGCAGCTTTGCCAGACTTCCCATCTGGAGATGAGGGGAGAAACACAAATGGTACATGGGCCAGCAAGGGAGCATGTGGAGGCGGCTCTGTGGGGCTGGGCCCTGACCCTGTTGGCCTGGGCCTTTCTCCTCCCAGCCCCTTTCCTTGGCTGGTGCTGGGGGTTCCTGGCTTCACTGGGGTGGAGCCAAACCCCTGGCTTTGTGATCCTGCCCCTTACTCATTACTGTTAGCCTCCACGAAGTCCAGTCACCCCTTTCCTCCACCAGACAGTGGCTTCGGGGAGGGGGCAGGATGCTGGCCAAGGTCCCCCAAGAAACTGAACAAACAGCCCTCCCCTCCTCAGCCCCCGGGGGTGGAGAGAGACCCGGTTTTGGTTTCTCCGGCTCCATGAACACACAGAGGTACACGTCCTACCATAGGAGGAAGCAATGACTGTTACGAGGTTGGCGGCTGTAGGGGGCGCGGGGCCCCGGGGGGCAGGTGGACGAGCAGGGGAGGGGTTGGCCCCTGCCCGGTCCAAGCTGGCCCCTGGCGGCCCCACCCCGGCGGCCGCAGCGGCCCCGCCCGCTACTGGATGTGGCAGGCGGTGGAGGACGTGGCCTGGCAGCACATGCAGGTGGGGTTCACGGACTTGGGGGGAATGAGGTCCAGGTCCTCGTCGTCGGGGATCTCATCTAACCGGTAGCCGTCCTTCAGCAGCTGGATGTTCAAATCTTGGTTGATCTGCTGCAGACAAAGGGGAGGGAGGTCAGGCTCGGGGCCATCCGCAGGCACCAGCTGTCCACACCCAGCCCTGTCCCATCCCTGGCTCTCCAGAAACCCCAGGCTTTGCACCTCCTGTAGGCCCCAGCCTCAGTTCTGGCCTCCCTTACGGGCACATCCTCTTGGGGCTCCACCTGGCCCTGCTACTCACCCCACTCCTTTCTAGGGGCAGCTTCCCACCTCAGATCCTGCTTCTGTTCGCCCTGCCCCTACTTCAGGCCCTCGCCCATAAGGTGTCGCCCCTGTGTCACACCCCACTGGGGTTCAGGGCCCTGTTCCAACCTGGGTCCGAACCCAGCCCCTAACTCTGTGCTCCCTGCACTGGAGGCGGAGTCAGATCTTATCCCAGGCCCCGCCCAGCACAGGCTCCACCTCAGTTCAGTCGCTCAGTGCTCAGTCGTGTCCAATCCGACTCTTTGTGACCCATGGACTGCAACACACCGGGCTTCTCTGTCCATCGCCAACTCTCTGAGCTTGCTCAGACTCATGTCCATGGAGTCGTGATGCCATCCAACCATCTCATCCTCTGTCATCCTCTTCTCCTGCCTTCAATCTTGCCCAGCATCAGGGTCTTTTCCAATGAGTCAACTCTTCGCATGAGGTGGCCAAAGTATTGGAGTTTCAGCTTCAGCTTTAATCCTTACAACGAATTTTCAGGACTGATTTCCTTCGGGATTGACTGGTTTGATCTCCTTGCAGTCAAGGGACTCTCAAGAGTCTTCTCCAACACCACAGTTCAAAAGCATCAATTCTT